AAGGACTGCTTGAGCTCAGGAGTTGGGGACCATCCTCAACAAGAGGGAGACCCTGTCTCTACTAAATATAGAAAAATAAGCCAGGAATCTTGGTACATGCCTGTAGTCCCAGCTACTCAGGAGGCTGAGGCAGAAGGATCAATTGAATCTAGAAATTTTACGTTGCAGTAAGCTGTGATGATGCCACTGTACTCTACCTGGGCATCAGAGTGAGACTGTCTCAAAAAATATATATATATGTAATATATGTACACACACATCAACACCAAACATATTAACATAGTTGACCCTGGCATTATAAAATAATGAATTTCTCCTAGCTACTTCATATTTCTCTGTGCTTTCTAAACGTTGAACTGTATGCATGTTTTGTTTTGTTTTTTTGAGACAGGGTAGCCTCCAACTCCTAGGCTTAAGCAATCCTCCTCGTTCAGCCTCCTAAGTAGCTAGGACTACAGGTAAACACCACCATGCCCAGCTAATTTTGTTATTTTGAGTAGAAGCAGGGTTGTACTAGTAACACAGGCTGGTCTTGGAACTCCTGGCCTCAAGCAATCCTGCCACAGCCTCCAAAAGTGCTGTGATTATAGGTGTAAGCCACCTCACCCAGTCCAGCATGTGCACTCTTGATAACAAGAATATAAAGGTAAAAACTGGAAAGAAATATAATAAAATATGGTTATCTCTGGGTAGTGAGATTAGAGATGATCTTTATTTATATGCTTTTCTGAACTTTCTAAATTTGTTTGATTATACACAAAATAAATGCTATCACTGTTTTTTTTGGAGACAGAGTCTCGCTTTGTTGCCCAGGCTAGAGTGAGTGCTGTGGCGTCAGCCTAGCTCACAGGAACCTCAAACTCCTGGGCTCAAGTAATCCTCCTGCCTCAGCCTCCCAAGTAGCTGGGACTACAGGCATGTGCCACCATGCCCGGCTAATATTTTCTATATATATTAGTTGGCCAATTAATTTCTTTCTATTTATAGTAGAGACGGGGTCTCGCTCTTGCTCAGGCTGGTTTTGAACTCCTGACCTTGAGCAATCCGCCCGCCTCGGCCTCCCAGACAGCTAGGATTACAGGCGTGAGCCACCGCGCCCGACCTCTATCACTGTTTAAAAGCATCATATCATATACACAGAGAAGCTATAGCATCTGTCCCAGCTCTGGTTCCAAACTTCTAAGCAGTCTTACAAGGAAAAGAGAATTAAGCAGCACTGAAGCAGATAAATGGACAAGAAGAAGCCTGCTAGCTCTCTGTTTCATTAGGAAGTAGGATCTCTTCTCATTTCTTATCAATTCTAAGCATTTTACCTTGAATCATTCCTCTTTCCTCATTACTCTTACATCCACATTATAACTGCTGTTTGCTTCAGAAGAGCTATTTAACAATGATATCACTTAGGACACTCAAAGAACCAAGAGAAACAGTATATTTTTATTACTGAAGGAAATAAAAAATATAAAATATTTTTTATATTTTATAAAAATATAAATTTTTTTATTTAAAATAAAAAAATATACTGAAGAAACAGTATATTTTTATTACTGAAGGCATGTAGTTGCTTAGCAAAAAAACAGAAGGAAAGAAGGCAATTTAGATTTGAGCTGTGAGCTTGGTTGACAATACACTAAGATAACTTCTAGGGGCTATCATCAAAGATTCCTTAAAGATTTTTCTCAGGCAAGACAGAGCCCCACATGTGATTAAATTCACCCCCACAGCACAGTGATGCTAGTGGAGAACACAAATGTCAAGGCTGAATGCCTTTCCACTGAGTGACAATGCTGGCTTTAGATTTGTTCTCTTTGTCTCCTAAGAACCCCCCATAGTTTCTAGGAAGGCTTTAGGCAATCTGGGCCATTCTAGACTTCTGTATCACAGTTCTTACCTCCTAGGTCTCCTATTACCTGTTGCTAGACTCCTGATCCAGGTATCCCTTGTCTCCAGAACATCACATACACTTTTTTTTTTTTTTCCTGAGAAAGAGTCTCACTCTGTCCCCCAGGCTAGAGTGCCATGGCATCAGCCTAGTTACAGCAACCTAAAAGTTTTGGGCTCAAGTGCTCCTCCTGTCTCAGTCTCCCAAGTAGTTGGGACTACAGGCAAGTGCCACCACGCCTGGCTAATTTTTTATATTTTTAGTAGAGTCAGGGTCTCACTCTTGCTCAGGGTGGTCTGGAACTCCTGAGCTCATTGGATCCTTCTGCGACAGCCTCCCACAGTGCTAGGATTACAGGTGTGAGCCACTGCACTCTGCCCATCACATAAAACCTATAACAAAGAGACAGCCGGGCATGGTGGCTCACGACTGTAATCCTGGCACTCTGGGAGGCCGAGGTGGGCGGATTGCTCAAAGTCAGGAGTTCAAAACCAGCCTGAGTGAGACCCCGTCTCTACTATAAATAGAAAGAAATTAATTGACCAACTAAAAATATATAGAGAAAAAATTAGCCGGGCATGGTGGCGCATGCCTGTAGTCCCAGATACTCAGGAGGCTGAGGCAGTAGGATCACCTGAGCCCAGGAGTTTGAGGTTGCTGTGAGCTAGGCTGATGCCACGGCACTCACTCTAGCCTGGGCAACAAAGTGAGACTCCCTCTGTCTCAAACAAAACAAAACAAAACAAAACAAAACAAAACAAAACAAAACAAAAACAAAGAGACAGAGCAGAATGGAGGTAGAAGAGGATCCACTAGTGCTGGAAAGAGGGAAAAAAAGGGTCTATGTTTGGTTTTTTTTAAAACAATCCAAAAAAGCTGTACATTCAACCTGACTGACAAACATCATGACAGTGACAGACACTTGGCATCATTCTACTTGTATCTCAACTAAAAGTTATATTCATAAGCCCAAACATGTTACTTACTATATTAAAGATTTACCCAACATATCAAGAATTTTTGTCAGACTAGTTTTAAGTCTTAATATTAAAATGTGATTCATAGTTACATTTCTAAAACTTAATTTTATTCATAGCTATAATTTTATTATCTTTGAAAAAAATCTCAAAAGATATTATAAACCAGAATATTAACACTGGTGAAATAACAGGTGACTTATTTATTTATTTTTTTGCCTTTTCTTATTTATTTTGCAATGAGCATGTAATCTTTTATATTCCAATTTTCATTTTTGCGGAGAGGCACTCAATTTGATAAAAATACATACTTCCACACTTTTAGGCAGAAGTATATATATACTATTTCTGTAGTTCCTCACCTTGAATTTTACTGTCACCCTCTCTCAAATGATTTCCTTCTAGGTAAATTATATCAAACATTAACAGCAATCAAGCTCAACTGGTTCAACCTAGGATCCAAATCATAACTGAAGTCAGATCAAATTAAAAACAATCAAACTCAAACCTGACTGCTACTATTTAATCAAAAAAATAATAGAACTTTTTGTTTTTGAGTAAAGGAGCCATTACCAATAGTGAACGACTAACAACACTAGGGTGATTATGTTTTATATATAAAGCACCAAATAGTTACATCAAGAGGTTTTTGGAACTGGGATTCAAAAATATGAATCCTTCCAAGCTCAGCCTCATCTGTCCTTAGAAGGAAGCTCAGTTGTTTTGTTTTGTTTTGAAGAGACAGGGTGTCGCTCTGCCATCCAGGCTGGAGTACAGTGGTCCAATCACAGCTCACTATAACCTCAACCTCCTGGCCTCAAGTGATTCTCCTGCCTCAGCTTTCCAAGTAGCTGAGACTGCAAGTGCATGCCATGCCCAGCTAAGTTTTTTTTTTTTTTTTAATAGAGACAGAGTCACACTAAGTTACCTAGGCTACTCTTGAAGAACTCTTAGCCTCAAGTGATCCTTCTGCCTCGGCTTCCCAATGTACTGGGATTATAGGCATGAGTTACCGCATCTGGCCCTTGAATCTCAGGTTTAAGGACAACTCAACTTCTCACAACATCTCAGCTCTGGACATGGACACGTGGGAAAGAATAGGCAACAGATTCAGGACAAATGGGTTTTTTAAACCCAACCACTCAATGGCAAGTTATGAAGCCTGATTCTTAATTTCCTCACCCATAAAACAGAGATAATAAAAAACATTTTGTGATGTTGCTCCAAAAATTGGAGGTAATATATGTTTAGTAGGTACCCTACAGTAGGCACCCAATAAATGATGATGATATAACTGGTTTGCCTATAAGACAGATATTAGTTCTCCCTTTTGATGCTAGTGTTATAGAGATTCCACTATAATTAACATAAAATGCATATTTGAATATAACTATTTACTTGTGGGTATAGAGATTGGCTGAATACTGGATGTAAGGAAGTTGGTTTTCCAGCACCTTTTCCTGCTAGTGCCATGTAACCCTACTTCATGTCAATTGTGTTAGTCACTACTATGGCATCTATCCCAGTGGTCGGGCTGACCAGGCTGTGAAACTCCCCCTATCCATGTACTCATTTTTTCCTCCCATTTCTTTCAAGACCAGTCAACTGATAAAGTAGGTAGATGGACAGTTGCTGGTTATCTTCAAATTGGCAATAGAGCTACATGCAAAAGCAAACCAGGAAGAACAGTATCATTTAGGAAAATACTAATGAGTCAGGTTGAATTTTGCATTTCCAAACATCAAGCCAGGAGAAACCTGCATTTTGTATGAATAACAATTTGGCTTTTTCTTTTAGGAAAAGAATTTGTTGTCAAGAAGTCTCTCTTCTTCCAAAGTGCCCCTCCCCTACCTCCTCCACAGTGAGATAACAACCCCCCATTTGCCACCTGTGCAAATGAGGTTTCCAATATCATTTGAGGAAGGGATCTCTTCAATTCAGTAACCTATAATCATAAAGCAAGTACCTGGCAGGCAATGTTTGAACATGATAATAAATCATTTTAAATAAACTTGAGCCAATGACCAAAAGAACATTAAGGAGACATGTTAGCTACGATGAGATACAAGATCACCACCACAGGAAGGGAAGCATTGCAGAGATCCTGTACAGAGCCTGCTCGGTGCCTGCATAGTCCTTACCTGACAGTCAAAGTCCTGGAAGTTTCGTGTACCATTCTGTCAACAGAAGGCAGAAAACACAGTCAGTTTCCTCACATGGTTTCCCCAAATGTGCAGCAAATTCAATTCACAGTGAAAGCAGTTCATGTTCAAGCCTCCTGGTTAGCATAAAACTAAAATGGTTCCCCATTGCAAGGCTTCAGAGGCAGAGTGGGTTATAAACATGAGTTAGTAAAGGCTGAATCTTCAGAGGTGAAATTATGTTTTGGCAGTCTTTACTGAGGAGATAAAGGAAAGGAGCCTAGTTTCCTAGAAAGCTTGTGATTTCTTTCCTCCCTACCTAAGGAGTGCAGTGAGAACTTGTGGCAAGAATCTGAAAGTACACCTTCAACACATGACGAAAGTACCTGGGAGGAAAGAAGTTGGAAGCCAACTCTGAGATGGGTGAAGGAGAGGAGGAGCCAGGGTGCCCAGAACAGGAATTAAAGAAATGATTAGGAAGAGGATGAAGCTATGCATAGATTAGAAATGGAAGCCTTGAAATCTGAGAAAGAAATGCAGGGTCACTGAAGGGGGAAAAGAAAGACAAAACAGGTTTCCTAATGCACTGGCACATCTGTTACATCATATACAATTGCTGATGGGCAAAAAGAACTAGTCACTGACTCACTTGAAAGTAGAATACAGTCAAAAGAACCAAGGAGAATTCATCAAGCTTTTCTGAAGAAGGATTACATTATAGGGATGCTAGATTAAGGAAAAAAATAACCAATGGCAATGACTCAAGCATTTTTGTAGCATTTCAGATGCCACAGATGCAAGAGTATGACATAAAAGTGTAAAAAGGATAAAAAGTGACGTATCTGGGAAGGAAACAAACTTCTGACTTGATTTTTCACAAAGCATTAAGCACCTCCCCAAAGACACCTCTCATTATTTACAAACTGATTTATCATAACAATGTTTATTCTGTTTCTACAACAGCTTCCAGAAAGTTCCCAATGGCTTCCCAAAAGCTGTTAGTCCAGAGAAGCTCTAGATACCTGATCCAAAGGGAGTACAAAGTAGTCCTATCCCTCTTCAAGAAGATCCTCTTAGAAACAGTTCTGGATCCCACCCCCTACACTGCTGGCAGGACAAAGCAAAGAGATTAAAAGCACAGCCCAGTCAGTGTGGTATAAACACCTAAAGAAAAAAATTTGTCTACCCCATGAGGAGAACTAGCGGAACCTGCTGGGATGGTCTATTGCTGCACTATCCAATAAGGTAGCCATTAGCTACCTGTACAATTTAAATTGAAATTAATTACAATTAAAAATTCAGTTTCTCAGTCACATTAGCCCCATCTCAAATGTTCATAGTATTGGGCAGTGCAGATACAGAACACTTACATGACTGCAGAAACTTTGACTGGACAGCACTGATCTAGACTCCAAAACCTTCTGAAGTAATAAGGTTATAGGTGGGCAGCCATAGTCTTTCTAAAGGTGGCCTTCACAATAGATTACCAACCAGAGAGAGACTGCAGATGCCACTGTGTACAGGCAAGAGAGTGGTGGAGACAACTAGTCTGATATGTTATTCCCGATAAGAAATAGAGCTCACAAAAATAAAGCCTGGTGTAGGCACAGCATGGAAAGACAATTAAGACACTGTGTAGATGGGACCAAGTAGCACATTTCCAAGGAATGCTGCTATTGATAAAAAGGATCATCATGTTCCATGACTCCCACTAGCCTCACTAGGTATCTAAGAATGTCTTCATAGAAGTCACTGGTGTTGGCCGGGCGCGGTGGCTCACGCCTGTAATCCTAGCTCTTGGGAGGCCGAGGCGGGCGGATTGCTCAAGGTCAGGAGTTCAAAACCAGCCTGAGCAAGAGCGAGACCCCGTCTCTACTATAAATAGAAAGAAATTGATTGGCCAACTGAATATATAGAAAATATTAGCCAGGCATGGTGGTGCATGCCTGTAGTCTCAGCTACTTGGGAGGCTGAGGCAGGAGGACTGCTTGAGCCCAGGAGTTTCAGGTTGTTGTGAGCTAGGCTGACGCCATGGCACTCACTCTAGCCTGGGCAACAAAGCGAGACTCTGTCTCAAAAAAAAAAAAAGAGACATTGGGTCAAAACCAAAAAACTCTACAGCATTCCAGTTTAAGATGTGATATAGCTATTTAGTGGAGGGAAAAAAGTAGGATACAGAATGGTCTTTACAGTTTGACCTTGACTACATTAAAATACGCATTAAAAAGACTTAGAAGAAAAACACTAAAACATTAAGAGCAGCAGCTACTCTGCTACTGAGAACCTTAATAATTATCTAAACACCAAATCAAGATGTGATTTGAGAAAGGATTTGTGGGATGTTTTGGAGAATAAGAAACAGACCTAGGCCACAGTTTCAACATCAAAATACTAGAATTTCTAGGATATTTTAATTGTCCAACTGCCCTAAATACTGGGAGTTTTAGTCAAGAGTAGCTTAGCCTCTGGGAGGCTGAGGCAGGAGGATTACTTGAGGTCAGGAGTTCGGGACCAGCCTGAGCAAGAGCAAGAGCCCCTTTCTCTACTAAAATAGAAAACTTAGCCCGGCACCTAAAAATAGAATTGCTTGAACCCAGGAGTTTGAGGTTGCTGTCAGCTAGGCTGAAGCCACAGCACTCTAGCCCAGGCAACAGAAAAAGACTCTGTCTCAAAAAAATAAAAACAAAAAAAAAAGGCCGCGTGGTAGCTCACACCTGTAATCCTAGCTCTCTGGGAGGCCGAGGCGGGCAGATCACTCAAGGTCAGGAGTTCAAAACCAGCCTGAGCAAGAGTGAGACCTCGTCTCTACTAAAAATAGAAAGAAATTGATTGGCCAACTAAAAAAATATATATAGAAAAAATTAGCCAGGCATAGTGGCGCATGCCTGTAGTCCCAGCTACTCGGGAGGCTGAGGCAGTAGGATTGCTTGAGCCCAGGAGTCTGAGGTTGCTGTGAGCTAGGCAGACGTCATGCCACTCTAGCCCAGGGAACAAGTGAGACTCTGTCTCAAAAAGAAAAAGAAAAAAGAAAAAAGAGACTATTGTAGAAAATCACGGTTATAGGCTCAGTATATGCATCCTGTGAGCTTTACCCCCCCCCATTAAAAGAGCCCTACTTTTAAGCTGGTGAGGGTGGTTCATGTGTATAATCCCAGCACTTTGGAAGGCTAATGTGGGAGGATCACGTAGGCCAGGAGTTCAAGACCAGCCTGGGCAACATAGTGAGACCCAATCACTACAAACATAAAAATAAATTAGCCCGGCATGGTGGTGCATGCCTGTAATTCCAGCTACTAGGAAGGCTGAGGCAGGAGGAATACTTAAGCCTAGGCATTTGAGGTTGCAGTGAGCTATGATGATACCACTGTACTTCAGCCTGGATGTCAGGGTGAATCCCTGTCTCTTTAAAAAGAAAAAAACCCCTGCTTTTGCTTTAGTATTTCACATCACTCCTAATGTCCATTTCAATTATCTAGAATTTTCTGCAACAATGGAAATATTCTATAATTCTGTGCTGTCCAATAATGTAGCCACTAACTACAAGTGAATCCTGAGGACTTGAAATGTGGCTGGTGTGATAAAGGAATAGAATTTTAAAAATTATAAACCATTTCCTGTGGCTACTGCAATGGACTGTGCATCTTTGGAGAGCTATGGAAGTAAAGCTGGCTGGCCTCACCTGTGGATGAGCTGACTGAGGAGAGAAACCTTGGGAGATGCTTGAGGAACTATCAGGCCCTCCGGATCTAATATGCTGGTTAATGCCTGTCACTGACTCCTATTTTCTTATTCACCTGGTTGTTTCATGATCTCACTGCTAATGCAATCTCTGCAAGAGCAGAGGCCCTGCTTGGATGGCTTACTAGGAAGGGCCTGGTATACAGGAGGCACTCACTGATACTTTGTGCTGTGTTGGGGTTACTGGTCAGGAAGGCCCATGGCAGTGAAGTCTAGGACTGTGCAACCTCACTGTGCCTGGGAAAGGCCCCGAGGCCTACCTGCTTGCACGGGGACAGGTTCCTGGCCTTGGACGGAGGGGCTCGAGCTTGGGCTTGGCAGGGTTTTTTCTCTGCTGGGCAGACTTCCCATCGTTCCTCAGTAGGGCACTTGGAAGCACATCGCAAAGAAAAATCTGAAAGAGATGCTATGATGGGGACTGAGCTGTGCCCCTGGCCTGGTCCCCAGACATCCTTCACTCCCCTACAGATCTCCTTGCTGACACGTGCGAAACCTGCCTCCCATCAGGACCCGGCCCCAGCCCCTCCACCACACTGAGGGCTCCCTGCAAACTGGGCAGTTTTCTCTGCATCCCGGCTCAGTTCTTTGCTTCTGGGCCTTTTTGCTTGTGTGCCCGCCCATGGCAGGAATGCCCTTTCCTCCCCTTAGGGCTTGTCTGGATCCTGCCCTGGCCTGGGAAGCTCTCCCCATGCCCTAGCCTTTGCTGACCACTCCCTTGAATTCTTATGGCCCATGTGGAACCCTTTGTCTGACTGGGATCGCACTGTTCCCCTGGGGGCAGGGGACAGTGATGGGCCAGTGAGGTCACTTCAGGCATGACGGGGCTCGTGGCTAGGGTCAGAGGAGGGCGAGGGGATCTGGGCGGGCTTGAGAGCCAGTGTCACGACAGGCAAGGGGGCACCAAACACACTGTTATTGGTGTCACAGAGTGCCACGAGGCTAGATGACGCAGTGATGACTTGCAAGCCTTAGGGGGTTGGTGGCTGAGCCACTTCCCCTCTCTGTGCCTCCTTTTCCTCATCTGAAAAATGGGGATAACAACACCCGACACACAGTCCAAGAGATAACACTGCACAAGGAGCCTGGCCTGCCCATTTCCTTCATCTTGTCCAGATTGTCACTTTATCAGAGGCCCCTCTGGGGAGCTTCCTCCTTTTTCTCTCTTGGCTCCCTGTTGTGCTCTTTCAAAAGTTTTAATTACTCATTGCCTGTAGAGTTTACATGTTTAATCTGCCATTATCCTACAGATGCCTGAGGACCAGGGCCTCGTTTGCCTGTGTCCTCAGCATTGAGGGCCCACAGCACGTGCTTGAAACACGTTGTCTAAATACACCAAAGTGACGATCAGCTCTTCGGACAGGTGTCTGATCCTCAGAATAATTTAAATACCCAGGTTTCTGGGGTAATGCTGATTTTTTCACACACCATATCAACATGTTTGGGGAGTGGGGGACTGAGTTTTATATTTCTTCTGAGATGATTTCATCCTTTTCAGTAGAGACAAGACACAATTACACATTTGGTCCCATTCAGCTGGTATTCACTGAGCTCCTGCTCTGTGCCAGGCACCTGCCAAGTCATGCTTGCCCTTGAACCCAATGCTGTCTGGATGAAGACTGGTGTCCATCAATAACTATCGCACATGACTTCTACGGCCTCATTGGCCAGTCCTGTCTGAGGAGTAAAGATCCTACCTTAGAGGATAAAACACACCCTCTTTCTGTTCTTTATTCTCATGTCATCGAATGAGAATAACAATACCTGCTTGCTGCTGCCTCTCCATGGGGACTTCAGTATTCATCTGGAAGGGAGCTCTTTAGCCCCAGATAGGCAATGGCTTCTGACAGCCTCTTCCTGCTCAGGTTTTGGGACCCTGCGGTGGTGGTAGACTGAGATGGTGCTGCTGCCTCCTGAGGTTTCTGATTCCCTGGATGCTAGAGCACCCCTCCAGTTCAGGTTGTCAATATCCCCGCTGCCTCCCAGTCTGTCTGTCCCCACCTTGAGTAGGAGGTCCAGGCTCAATGCTTAACTTTGCAGACATGGGTCTCCAGGAAATCCCAGGGAGAGAACACCTGCCTTGGGTAGCGTGGGTGATCACTTCAGGCCAACCAGGTTGGAGCTGCGTGACCTCAGGCAAAGCACATAAGCTGAGTCTCACCTGTGAACTGGGGAAAGGAATATCCACTCCGCAGGATCGTGGGGAGAATTAGAGGAGTGTAGCACAGAATGGGTGCTCAGTGAAGCTTAGTTTCCTTTCCCCTCCTTCAGCAATACCACAATCACCAACTGCATAAACCCAGAGACTTCTTCCTGCTGCAGGTGGAGCTGGGGCTGGGCCCTAAGGGCCAAGGGAGAGAGGAGCTACACTCATGCTGGAAGCCTCCCTGGAACTCCCTCCCTCGTGAGGTCCTGGTGGCAAATGGAAGACCATGCAGTGGGCAGGCTTCCAAGGAGGAGATATTAGTGGAAACTTTTATAAGAGATAATCTAGTCATTAACCACACAAATATTTGAGCAACTTACTATGTGCTCAGCACCTTCTAGGGGACCCGAGTCAGTAGATGGAGGAAAGAGTAAAAGGCAGCTGAGATCAGCACACTGTGTTGAACTTAGAGTTTTTTTGTTTTGTTTTGAGGCAAAGTCTCACTCTGTGGCACCAGCTAGAGTGCCGTGGTGTCAGCCTAGCTCACAGCAACCTCAAATTTCTGGGCTCAAGCAATCCTTCTGCCTCAGCCTCAAAGTGGTTGGGACTATAGGCATGTGTCACCACGGTGGGATAATTTTTTTTCTTTCCTTTTTAGTAGAGATGAGCATCTTGCTCTTGCCCAGGTTGGTGTCAAACTTCTGAGCTTAAGTGATCTTCTTGCCTCGGCCTCACAGAGTGCTAGGATTACAGGTGTAAGCCATCTCTCCTGGCCCAGAACTCATTCTTGATCATCTCACTAGAGTCCCATTTTAGATACAATGACCAAGGCCCCGAGAGGACAACCTCGTGCTTAATGGTTGTAGAGCTGGTTACCCACAGCCCGGACAAACATGAGTGTTTTGTGCTTCTCAAGATCATTTTCAGAAGTGGGCATAAGAGTGATGAATTTGGATTGGATTTAAGGGAGACCTCTCTCTTTCAACTGAGAAACATCACCCTTTGAGAGGAATTGTAGAGTTTACAGCTGAAGTGTCTTCAGAGATGATAATCTCTCCTTCACTGGCTGTGGAAGACGGCAGCGCAGAGAGGGGCCCAAAGTCACACAGCCGGTCGGTAACCAAGATGGGATCAGAATGGGCACGAGGACAAGCTAGAGAGACAGAGGAGAGGGGAGGCCTCGGTTCTTCTGGGACCCCCAGAAACCACCCCCCTTGCACATTCATAGACCACTTCCCCTTCTCCTTAAGCTCTTGTTTCCCAGCAGCAAATAAAGCCCAGTGCCAGTCTCTGGGAGGACAATTCTTCCTCACCTGCCTCAGGGCCATGAGAAAACAAAAAGCAAGCATACTTACTGGTTTCTTGTCCGAGGTTTGGGCAGAGGGCTCAACTAAGATGCATGCTTTCGCAGGACAGGTTAGAGCTTTGGGGGCCCCTTCGGGCAGTGAGCCAAAGTCTTTGGTCCTAGGACACCCAGAACTTTCTTGGCCCGGGAGGCTCTCGAGAGGCTGTGTCTGTTTGGGTGGGTCATCATCTGTCAGTGGTCAGCAGTTTATACACCCAGGATGGGTGAGGAGCCCCATGCTCCTTGGAGACGCTGGACTGGACACCCCTCCCAAGCACAGCTGGGTCAGGGAAAAAGACCTAGGGCTCCCTGAGCTCTGTCACAAAGACGCAGGTGCAGGGTCCTTGGAGCTGTGGCTCCTGTCTGCAGACTCTGTGGTTCTCACAACCACCCATTTCCTCTGACGGCATCACAGACCAGTGAAGAGCCACCTACCCCAAGTTCCTGTTTCTGGGGGAGCAGCAGCTGCCTTGTCAACAAAAGGTTTTTCTCTGGCTTTGCAGCGTGGTCTTGTCCAGGGAACACAGCACCAAGGTAAATGAGCAGAAGGTTCCCATGCTGGCCTGACTGTAATAATCACCAGCGGGGCTTAAGTTTAGCAAATTTGGGAGACCCTCCCAAACTTTTTTCTTTTTTTTGAGACAGAGTCTCACTTTGTTGCCCAGGCTAGAGTGAGTGCCGTGGTGTTAGCCTAACTCACAGCAACCTCAAACTCCTGGGCTCAAGCAATCCTCCTGCCTCAGCCTCCTGAGTTGCTGGGACTACAGGCATGCGCCACCGTGCTCAGCTAATTTTTTCTATATATATTTTTAGTTGATCAATCAATTTTTTTCTATTTATAGTAGAGACGAGGGTCTCACTCTTGCTCAGGCTGGTTTAGAACTCCTGACCTCAAGTAATCCGCCTGCCGCGGCCTCCCAGAGTGCTATCTTCCACACCTTCTAAATCCACGTTGCCAGAGGGGGAACCTAGGAATCTAAATTGTAAACACTCCCAGGGATTCTCTTGACTGGCAAGTTCCAGAAGCACGGCCTTCTCAACCTTTAATGTGTATAAGAATCACCTGGGGATCTTGGTCAGTCGTAGACTCTGATTCAGCAGGTCTGCGGTGGGCTTCAAGATTCGGCATTTCTAATAAATAGGCTCCCAGGTGATGCTCGTGTTGCTCGTCTGGGAAGCACACTTTGAGAACTACCGTGCAGAATGTGCTCTTCAAAGTGTGGTCCCCAGACCAGCAGCCTCCGTATCACCTGGGAATTTGTTAGACTTGCAAATTATCAGAACTGATCTCACATCTATTGGATCAGAGACTCAGGGGACAGGTCCCCTGCAATCTGTTTCTACAAGCCTTCCAGGTGACTCTGAGGCATGCCCAAGACTGAGAATCTGTGCTCTAGGATCAAGACTGTGATTGTGACTGAATTATCTTTGACATCTGGGTTGTTCCCTTTAGCCCACAGTTTATTAAAATTTTACTACACCCATTTGCCGTGGTGGGTGAGTATTCCTGGAGACAGATGCTATTTAACACACAATGGCCCGTTGCATGGAGACAACTCCTCTCTCCAGCTCAGACCACACAGCCTTTTCTGGTGTCTTGCCAGCTATAGCACACTGCTGTTTAGGTTCTCAGAGTTCCTGCCAGTCTCTCTCCCTTGCTCCTGGGGAATTTGGTTTGATATTTAACTTTGGAGGCATGTGGTATGGAGAGCTGAAGGAGCCAGTGGAGTAACTGTGGAGGTAATTTCTAATCAGGATGTTAGAACGGATGGTAGCTGCCACTCAGGGGAGGGAAAGAATTCAGCACCCCCTCTCCCTCCTACCTCCATACGACTCTGATGCCTATCTTATGTGGGACTGGCAAACTATCCAAACTGGCTTCAACGTGAGGTTCCTGAATGAAGTAGGAAGGAAGGAGTGGCCATATTTGGTCTCTTCTTAAAAGAATCCCACCATATAATGCTCCTTTTCCATGTACGGAGGCATTGGAGAATCAGAAAGTTTAAAATCTTAGGTTTGCCACTGTAATATAAGTAATATGTATTTGGTTTTCCTCCCTGGCTCTTGGCCAGAGGTCCTAAAACCCTTGTAATTGCCTGGGTGATACAAACATCCTCTGTTCTTTTTTTTTTCTTGAGATAGGGTCTTGCTCTCTTGCCCTGACTAGAGTGCAGTAACATCATCATAGCTCATTGCAACCTCAAACTCTTTGGCTCAAGTGATCATCCTGTCCCAGCCTGCTGAGTAGCTGGGCCTACAGGGCACACACCACTATGCCTAGCTAATTTTTCTTTTTTTTTGTATAGATGGGGGGGGGGGTCTCACTATGTTGCTTAGGTTCATCTTGAACTCCTGGTCTCAAGTGATCCTCTTGCCTCAGCCTCCCAAAGTGCTAGGATTACAGGCGTGAGCTGCTGTGCCTGGTGTGTTTTTGGTTCTAACAAGGGAATTCTTGGTGAGCTGCTGGGTGAAGGCTGGTCACCAAAAAGACTAAGCCATGATTATGAGGTTGGAGCTTTAGGCCTCACCCCCACCCTTAGGAAGGGGAGAGCTGGAGACTGAGTTAATAATTGATCATGCTTATGTCATGGAGTCACCATAAAAATCCCTAAAGTGCTATAGATATAGCGGGATAAAAAAATTCCTAAAATACAGGGTTCAGAGAGCTTCCAGAGTGGCGAGCATACCCCTGTGCCATGCATACCCCAACTCCATGGGGTCAGAAGCTCTTATGCTTGTGACCCTTTGAGACTTTATGTACTTTATCTGGCTATTCATGCATATCCTTCATCATATCCTTTACAATAAACCAGTAAACATGTTTCCCTGAGTTCTGTAACCTATCATAGCAAACTATTAAACCTGAAGAGGGGTTCATGGGAACCCTCAATTTGCAGCCAAGTTAGAAGTATGGGTAACCTGGGGATCTACTGCTTGCAATTGGTGCCTGAAGTGGGGGCACTCTTGTGGGGCTGAACCCTTAACCTGTGGGGTCTGCACTAACTACAGGTAGCTACTACCATAATTGAATTAATTGTAGGACACCTCATTTGCAACTGGAGTGTTGGAGAACTGCTTGGTAGAGGGAAAAAAACCATACATTTGGTCATAGAAATGCTGGAAGTGTTGAGTGTAGTAGAGGAAACTGTTTCCCAGGCAGCCACTTACTAGTTTTGTGACCATTTATAAACTAGTTACCTCTGGGCATGTTTCTGCATCCAAACAATGGGAATAGCATCTTATCTCATTAGGTCAATAGAAGGAAATTTACAGGAAGGCGCTAAGGGCCTGACCTATAGTAGATGCTCAATAAAAGGCTGAAGGCTGGGCATGGTGGCTCACACCTATAATGCCAGCACTGTGGGAGGCCACAGTGGGAGGGAGGATGACTTAAACAGCAGTTTGAGATCAGCTAGAGCAAATCATGAGACTCTTGGCTCTACCAAAAAAATTTTAAAATAAGCCTGCGTGGTAGCACACTCGTGTAGTCCTAGCTACTTGGGAGGATCCTTTTAGCCCAGGAGTTGGAGGCTACAGTGAACTATGATTGCACCACTATACTCTAGCCTGGGTAACATAGTGACATTCTGTCTCTAAAACAAAACAAAACAAAAAAATGAATAAAATATGGGGTCTTATGTGGGGTCTTGCTGTGTTGCATAGGCTGGACTGGAACTCCTGGCCTCAAGCCATCCTCCTACTTCAGAAGCCTTCTAAGTGGCTGAGACTATAGGCACCCAGTTCAGAAATGACTTTTTTAAGGTAAGTGATCTTGGCCAATTCACTTAATTTTCCTGAGCTGTTCCTTGTCTGTAAAACAGATGCTGCCCACTTTGCGGAATTGCCATGAAAAATGGGTAACATGAGGTCATTGGAAGCGCTTCATTTAGCCCTCTCGTGTAGCGTCTGCCTGGCCTCTCATAAAGCAGGCACTCAAATTTTTTCTCAGTTCTCAACAGGAAGAAAGGACACGTAAATGAGGAGTGAGGTAAGGATAAGTCAGGAAGTCAGCTGAGGCCTGACTCCAGGCACGAGGCCAAGCTGGGAAAACAGGCAACCTTCCATGCTGAGTGTGGAGCCACGTGGTTTCAAGTGCAACCGTGGCCATAGGATCAATTCCAGCTTGTCACTCTGTAAAGCACTGACCCCCATCATCAAGGCACTCAGCTTAGTCATCTGACTCTGTTTACGTCCATTTGTTTTTCCTCCGTACCAGAACGGGCAGGCTCCATGTCATTTTGAAAGTACCTCTCGTGGATGCAGCGACCTGCTTGTACTCAGGGTAGCACTAGTCTCTGTATCACTCAAAACTGATCTGAGACAGTGGCTTCCTGAAATTATTCTTGGTACAGATATAGCCATTTCTGAAGAAATACAGGCTGGTCTCCTAGAGGATCCCAGACAACTGGCTGTAGATTATTAAAGGATAGGCAGGACTCAGCAATCCTGTAGAGATGGCAGAGCTGAGGTGTGCAGCACCTTGCCAAGACCTCAGCTTCTCTTCCTTCATCACACACAGCACTGTTGGGCTTCTCACAATGTCTGCATTGAGGGAAATACAGACATGTCAGATGGAACTGGGATTCAGTCCTTGCTGGCCTTATTGGCTGTAGGACCTTGGGCAAATGATTGATCCTGAGGCTTCATTTCCTCCCTATAAATGGACAGTGTCACTGGAGGGGGGGGGAAGTGATCACATGTGAACATGCTCAGCACAGAACCAGCATTTAGTAACTTGGTCCTGCCTGAACCCAATGAGTAGCTTGAGAGAAATAACACCAGCAATCAGGTAACAATGAGACATATACAGCTTTATTAACAATCTGTAAAAAGTCATACTCTGGCAGAGTGATATATTCCTTATCTCAGCAGAAAGCAAACAATGAGTCTGAAAAGCCCCTTTCCGAGATTTGGAACCGTATAACCCTGAGCTTACATCGCAATGCTTCCAAGAACTGGGCTCTGGCTGCGTGGCAGTTGGTCTCCATGGCTTTCACCCTCCTCCAGCAATACTCTCTGGCTGGCTGTGACCCTTCACATAATAGTAGACAGGAAGCTGAAAAGTTTTACCTGGACAGGGCTGCCCTTACAGGTGGGTCTCTTTCCTCCTACAAAAGGGACTTCATAGGATTAAGAATCTTTCTGAGAAATGGGTACTATGTTAATTAAATTTAGCTTCCATTAAGTCTGCTGAAATCAAGGCTATACTTCACTCTCCCCATCACAGACTTGGGAGGCACTTCTTGTGGACATATGGATGTCTGGTAAGTGGTATCCGACACTGTGGCAACAGCAGTTTTGCTCTTGCAGAGCCGAGGCCTGGCATTTTGTTTTCTGTCTTCCTGTGCTAAGAGAGTCCAGTAATTAAACCACACTTGCTCCTTGGAAAAAATTCTGTTGTATCAGAACCTCATCATTCATGGGTTTCTTGTATGAAATAGACTGTCTCCCTCCCTTGAATTTATAGAATAGTATTTATGAATTCATCTGGACAGAGGGGGCGGATGGCCACCCTGCCTGGCTCCTTATGAACAGGTACCTTCTCCAGTTGGTCACAATCAGTCAAGGGTCCTAGCAGTCATTATGATCTTCCACATTCCTCAGAGCTGCTCTCTCCTGAAGTCATTTTGCCAATCACGTTGGCCAATTTAGAACTAAAAGAGAATGTACCCAACCTACAAATCTGTTCTGCATATTTCCCTTAAAAACATCATTGATGATGCAAAAAAAGTCCCTTTTTTGTTTTGTATTAGCGCTATAAGAAAGCATGTCTAAAATCACAGAACTATGCATACAGAAACACAGACACGCGTGCTTGCACACACACAGAGTTGGGATCAAAGAATCTTATCCGATACATGGTTGGGGAGCATAGGAAAAAGCTGGCGAGAGAAGATATGGAGATTGGATCAGCTAACGATGTTGGAATGTTACAGTAATGGCATGGAAGTGGTTCTTGGTATATACAAAAAGGGGGGTGGGCAGGCAGGAAGAATGATAAATCCAGGCTACTAGAGAGAGGTTCAGTGGCCATGCATGAGTTAAAGATAGTAGACGCTGGTTGGCTGGATGAAATGTTACATTAAGGAGGAGTCATTTGAAGAAGGGTGGACTTGTATGGTCCAGGGGAGGAGCATCTGCTTAGCAGGACACCTCCATGGTCTGGGGTCTTTCCAGGACATCGGGGGACTCACAGGATTCTTGAGTTCCATCTGACTGATTGCTGGTGACAGACCGGCTGAAGGGACTTTCTCCAGAGCCGATGCTACTTGAGGTTGAGTGAGTTCGTGATCTGGCGAGCCGGGTCATGCTGGCAGATGGTACTGGAACAAAGAAGCAAGACGACTAGAAGATGGAGCCCTGGTTATGCTCAGCTAATCTAGAAGTTTCACCAGAGGTTTTGTGTGTAGCCTCTCCAACCCATTTACAATGACACCCAGGACAAAATACAGCCATCCCCATTTTGCATTATTAGCTCTAGGTGAGTGGCAATATGCACAAGGCTACTTTAATCCTTTAGATCTGATTGGAATCTCAGCTCACTCTAGCCCAAAGCAGAACAAGGAAACCCCTAAGTCCAGACAGAATCTAGCCTCTTAGCTATGCCCACACTATTCACACAGTGATTATGAAGGAGGCTTTAGGAACCCAAACAGGTAATCAAAACCTACAGTGCATGCAAGACTACACCAAAGAAAAGACAGACAAACCACACAAGTATGAAAGTGTTTCACAGACACAGTGCAAGCCCGATACAACAAGACTACCATCCGTGTCCACAGGCTACCCTGACTACCTGGGGAGGAGGGCGAGGAGACATGTAGGCAGGTGTGGGTGGAGGGGAGGGAAGCTACACCTGGAGCTGACTTCTACACAGGAATGAGGCATAGGTTGCTGGGAAGGAAGAGCTCTGGGGTTAGGTGTTGACCTCAGACTCGTGTTATGCCACTGCTTGACCCTAAGGTCCTTCCAGCTTGGATGGGACAGGGCTTTACATGGCATATCCTCCTGAGGCACCAGCCACTCCCACAGCTGTCATTTCAATGCTGGGGTCAAAGGTGCCAGAGTTCTCTGGGCACAGTCTCTGACACTCCCATTTAGAGTCAAGGCTGCCCTTCCATTCCTGCCTGTGGCTGGGGATTAATACTAGGGTCAGTAGGCGGTAGTGGAAGGGGGGCCCTGTCTGTTAAGCTTCAGCTGCTATTATGACCCTGGATTAGGGTCACAAGAGAAGGCCTGGCCCTTACAACCAGATCCTTTCTTCCTCCTGGGGACCGGGGCTGGAACTATAGGCTAAACCCCTTGGGGCATAACGAGCCACGTTCTATCGGGCTCTCACTGCACAGGAAAACCGCGGACATGCTGCAGGCAGCCAATGCAGCCAGGAGAGCGTGGCTGGGAGGCAGGGTGTGGGGCCAGCACAGAGGAAGGTACCTGACTCGGTGCTCAGGTGACTGAGCTGCACATATGGAACTGGAAGCAGGATGGACACAGGAAGAGCCAGGTTAGTGACCAGAGAGTGCTAAGTGGCAACCTCAGCTGCCCAGTAGACACTGACAGAATACTCTAAGCCAGGGATCAATTTTTATTGTAAGGTCCCAGAGAGAAGGTGAAGCTGATAGATATTTCAATAACATCTCAGAGGTTACGTCTCTCAACTAGACAAAGGCAATTATTTTCCCCTCCACTATAAACAGTCATCTGCGTTTGATCATAAAGGGGCTGGAAGATCACCTATTTCCTAGGAAAGGGATGACAATGGGCTAGGAGAGGGAATTCTGCTCCTCCCAGCAAGCCTGGGGGCTGTGGGTGTGGGCTCGGTTGGTAGCAGCTCACAGACGGGGATGACACAGCCACTTGAGACAAGACATACACGGTCTGCCTGGCAGGTACAGGGCTGCACCCAGGGGCCAGCTGCCCAGAGCAGCTGACCAAGTGGCTCACAAATGGCCATTATCCACATTGATACCAAAGGCAGGAGAAAATCACCGTACTGGGTAAAGAGCTCTGTACCTGGGTGTAAAGGTTTTTCTTAAAACTCCAATAAAAGACCAAGCATAGATAATTCTATGACAAATGAGAAAGCTTGGGGTCTCACAATACGAGAGACCACGACAACAGCATATGATATGGTCATATCCTTGCACTTGCTCTAAAATACTCCGCAACTTTATGTTCTATAGTGGAACAGATTAAACCAAGGACACTACTCTTTCCTTCTGGAGTCTCCATCTTGTTTCTCTAGGCCAGGAGTTATTAAACAGCTGAGTTCAAACACAAATCGCTGCTAGGACAGCCCAAGCTTCAGTGGTTACAATGGAGTCAGACTGCCTTGGTTTGAATCATGGCTCTTTAGCTAAATTGTTACCTTGGGAAATGTAATAAGCCTCTCTGATCGTCTGTTTCCTCTTCTATAAAATGGGACTAATAGCAGAACTTACCTCTTAGGTTAAGAATATATAGTACCTGACACAAGGTAAGTGCTTAATAAGTATTAGCACATCACATCTATGTGCAAATGAATGCTCCATAAACATCCTGGTTTCTACCTTCTCTAGCATAGGTTGTGTCCTAAGAATTGTGGCCTCCCAGATGTCAAACTGACCACCATTATTCATAAATCTTTGTTAGAAAAGTTGTGTGCTACTCACTGTAGCCCATTCCCTGTAAAAAGTATTTGAAGGCCTCGGTGAGCTTCCCGGGCTGTGGGGACAAAACAAGCAGGCATTAATGTCTACATAGGCAGAGAGGCAGGATCCAACAGGCGCTTAAAAAAAACATCTCCTTACCTGAACTACTTGAGGCAGTCCCCCACAGTCTGCCATCTAGAAGAGGAAAAACATGCCAGTCAGTTGGGACTTATACGTAAGCCACATGCTATGACTATGTCAAGCCCTGTCCCATAGGACACAATCGAGTTTCAGATTCCTTAATGTTTAAGTGCATCCCAGTTTGCATGTCCTCACTGCTCTCCTATACAAAAACCTGGACCCTAGCAATGACCTTGGATGCAAATCCAAAAGCGTTATTTAAGGTTTATTTATCAATAAGCTGCAAGGCCTGACTTTCAGGCCCATGGTGGAAATTTTCTGTTGAGGTGTTGGTGAAGTTAACCACTGCCTTCAACAATGCTTCTGACTCTGCCTGAAGAATGTTACTTTCAGAGTCCTCAAACAGTCTGACCCTGACTACTGGGGGCATTGTGTCTTTTAAGTTCCCCTCAACTCTACATTATCTTCACTCCATGAGGAAGGGGAGTTCTCCAATGAGGAGCTGATGCTGATTCAGCCACCTTGCTTGGTCAGCCACTTTCTTCTTACAGCTGTTTTTTGTTTTTTTTTTTGAGACAGAGTCTCGCTTTGTTGCCTAGGCTAGAGTGAGTGCCATGGCGTCAGCCTAGCTCACAGCAACCTCAATCTCCTGGCTCAAGCAATCCTTCTGCCTCAGCCTCCCAAGTAGCTGGGACTACAGGCATGCGCCACCATGCCCGGCTAATTTTTTATATATATATATATTAGTTGGCCAATTAATTTCTTTCTATTTATAGTAGAGACGGGGTCTCGCTCTTGTTCAGGCTGGTTTCGAACTCCTGACCTCGAGCAATCCGCCCGCCTCGGCCTCCCAGAGAGCTAGGATTACAGGCGTGAGCCACCACGCCCGGCCCTTACAGCTGTTTTTGGTGAGACTACTTTTTACCTCATGAACTTTTTTTTTGAGACAGTCACACCTTGTCACCCTGGCTGGAGTCCTGTTGTGTCATCATAGCTCACTGTAACCTCAAACTCCCAGGCTCAAGGGATCCTCCTGCCTCAGCCTCCTAAGTATCTGGGACTCAACGCCCAGCTATGTTTTCTACTTTCTGTAGAGACAGGGTCTTACTCTTGGTCAGGCTGGTCTCAAACTCCTGGCCTCAAGCGATCCTCCTGCCTCAGCCTCTCAGAGTGCTAGGATTACACTCATGAGCCCACACCCGACCTACCTCATAAACCTTTATAGCTGATTATTCTCACCTGTGCAAGGATTTCTAGGCTAGGGCTTCATTAGTGTGCACTGGAATTACCCAGAGAACTTGTTAAAACTCAGGTTCTTGGGTTCCTATCCTAGAGATTCTGATTCAATAGGTCTGGGGTAAGGTTCAAGAATTTGCATTTCTGCCTTGGTAGAATAGCAGTGAACTCTCCTAGAGAAATTATTGTGCAGGTTCCCCCGTGACTTGGTGGGGTGCACTAGGGTCTTGGAGACTTTTACTATTTTTAATGCTAGCAACTACCACTTACTGAATGCTTCCTGTTTACAGGCTGCTGTGCTACGCATGCATTTACTGCATTCAGTCATTCAATGTGTTTTTATAGATTGCTTCCTACATAGCGATGAATAAGGCAGACTAGGTCCCTCTCCAACAGCCTCAGGAGGCACACATCCCCACTGTATGGATGGTGAAACTGAGGGTCAGACTGATCAACTCGCTTGTCCTGTGTTTCACCTCTGTTTCTTTTAATATTAGTTTGTTGTCACATTTTAACATTTTTGAAATCAAGAAATTTTGCCATGCCAAATTAAGGAGAAAGCTATGAGCTAGTTGTCATTACTTGTACAGGTATGAATTTAGGCCTGGCTAAAAAGTTTCCTTATATCCCATTGTCTCTGAACTAGTATCCTTATGTATAGCTAATGTTTATTGAAGACAGGCTGTGTTAATCCCTACAACATTTCCATGAAGTCAGTACTATTATTAACTTGATTTTATAAATGAAAAAACTGTCATACAGATCTAAAGTCATATAGGTAAAAAAATTGGCAGTGCTGGGCCTCAAACCTGGCCACATACAACTTTAGGGCTCCTATTTCTTAGCACTACCGTGTTTCCCCGAAAATAAGACCTACCCATAAAATAAGCCCTAGCAGGATTTCTAAGCATTTGCACAATATAAGCCCTACCCAGAAAATAAGATCTAGTGATGGGCATGGCTACGCAGTGTATCTGCACAACCCATTTCCTTGAAGAGTGGTAAAAAAGATGAGCAGCCCTTCTTATCTGCCCCATTGTGACAGCTACTATCCCAGAGGTGACCGGAAAGGTGCGGGCGGCCCCACCAACAAGGTTGGCTCCCCAAGTCAGGTCCCGAACATCCTGTGTGTGCTGCAAGCTGAGGCTTTGAGGGGAAAATAACACATCCCCTGAAAATAAGCCCTAGGGTGTTTTCTTGAGGAAAAATAAATACAAGATCCTGTCTAATTTTGGGGGAAACACGGGACTCTATTTCCTCTCTTATTTGCTCGTGTAGAACCATAGCCAGCTTAATGTATTATAAATCCCTATTTGTTGCTCAAGTATATGTGAAAGACATCATACTTTGATGCAGCTTTTAACAGAAACATTGTTGTGACTGCAGAATGTCTATCACATGCTAAGCAATGCTATTAAAGACAGAAGGCTGGGCATGGTGGCTCATACCTATAAAACTAGCAATCTGGGAGGCTGAGGTGGGAGGATCGCTTAAGGTCAGGAGTTCCAGACCAGCCTCGACAAGAGCCAGACCCAGTCTCTACTGTAAATAGAAAGAAATTAGCTGGACAACTAAAAAAATATAGAAAAAATTAGCCAGGAGTGGTGGCCCATGCCTGTAGTCCCAACTACTTGGGAGGCTGAGGCAGGAGGGATCACTTGAGCCCAGGAGTCTGAGGTTGTTGTGAGCTAGGCTGATACCATGGCACTCTAGCCTGGGTGACAGAGAAAGACTCTGTCTCAAATAAAAAAAAAAAAGGAATAGCTGTGAAATTCAAAAAATATAGATGAGAAGAAAAATATTTTCTTTGTGGAGGGACTTACTTGAGAAGAGAAGAATGACACAGAAGACATAAAAGTTTGAGCTTAACAAAATACATCCCTTGAAAATTCTATGCATAAGATTAGAAAGGAACATTTAACCTGACAAATATATTAATATAATAGATCAAACTGTCACAGGCTATATTTTCATGAAGTTTGAGAGTTGAAACATGATTATAATAGAACCATAAAACAGTTGTCATATGCAGAAAGAGAATATTGGGATAAACTATTTCCAAGACTGATACCCATAAAATAGTTTGAGAATCAGTTCAATCTGCCATAGGAGTTATCCACTTTACATGCCGTTGTAGATGAGCATTTTTGCCCAGAAATTACCATGTTCATGGCTATTGTAGAATTCAGTTTTGTGCTTATAAATACCAATTCTAACCTGAAGTGAAAAGCCAAGTTGAAACCACAAACTTTTTTTTTCAATTCCTATTTTTTTTTTTTTTTTTGAGACAGAGTCTCACTTTGTTGCCCGGGCTAGAGTGAGTGCCGTGGCGTCAGCCTAGCTCACAGCAACCTCAAACTCCTGGGCTCGAGTGATCCTTCTGCCTCAGCCTCCCGGGTAACTGGGACTACAGGCATGCGCCACCATGCCCGGCTAATTTTATATATATATATCAGTTGGCCAATTAATTTCTTTCTATTTATAGTAGAGACGGGGTCTCGCTCAGGCTGGTTTTGAACTCCTGACCTTGAGCAATCCGCCCGCCTCGGCCTCCCAAGAGCTAGGATTACAGGCGTGAGCCACACAGCGCCCGGCCTTCAATTCCTATTTTAGATTAGCCTGTTAATCGCCTGGCATCCAGAACATTTTGAATTGGTCACCTTAGAGCATTAAACTCATGTTATAGTCCTTTTTTTTTTTTTTTTTTTAGAACAGAGTATCACTTTGTTGCTCAGGCTAGAGTGAGTGCTGTGGCGTCAGTCGAGCTCACAGCAAACTCAAATTCCTGGGCTGAAGCAATCCTACTGCCTCAGCCTACGGAGTAGCTGGGACTACAGGCATGTGTCACCATGCCTGGCTAATATTTTCTATATCTATTAGTTGGCCAATTAATTTCTTTCTATTTATAGTAGAGATGGGTTCTTGCTCTTGCTCAGGCTGGTTTCAAACTCCTGACCTTGAGCAATCTGCCCGCCTCGGCCTTCCAGAGAGGTAGGATTACAGGCGTGAGCCACCGTGCCTGGCCCTCATGTTATATTTCTAGAAACTATGGGCTGCTTCTGGTGATAGCACTTCCCCTTCCATTGCACTTCAAAGAGAAAGGGAAGAAGGCAGAAGTCTTTCATAGTGAAAACATAGCAGTATACAACATAAGATCAGCATTTAAATCTATAGTAGTCCAAATTCAAACAAGGTCAGCTACCTAAAACATTTTAGTAGAGGCTCTACAAAAAGCTAGGTTGAGACAATGCAAGGTTGACACTTTTGCCTGGGGTATACTTAAAAGGTAGAGTCTTTTGAGACACTTGATACCTAGAAATTTAGTCCAAAAGTGGTTCTCTAGTTGCCCTAAGAGAAAGAAAATTCATCAACCCTCATCATTAGAAATGTTATTGGAAGCTTCCTTACCAATACAGCAGGATTTGCATGTAAAGAATTTCCATCCATTATCTTCTCACATTACATAATGCTTATGAAGTTTTTAATTACATGGAAAATGTTATGTCATAAAGTTGAGGAAAACAAATACAGGTCTGTAAATACTTTCTGATTTAAATGATATAAGAATGTATAGGGAAAAAATATTGATATTTTACCCCAGGTTACCTTTGGGTGGTAGGAGTAGGGGTAATTTAAATTTATTTTATTCTTTATGTTTTTCTTTATTTTCCAGTGTTCTACAATGAGAATATGTTCAGGAGGAAACATTTTTAAAAAGAAGATGAGGCCAGGTTTAGTGGCTCACACCTGTAACCCTAGCATTTTGGAAGGCTGAGGCAAGAGGATCACTTGAGGAGTTCAGTACCAGTTGGGGCAACACAGCAAGACTCCTCTCTACAAAAAGACAGAAAAATCAGCCCAGTGTGGAGGCACACATGTGTAGTCCCTGCTACTCAGGAGGCTAAGGAGGGAGGGTTGCTTGAGTCGAGGAGTTCGAGGTTGCAGTGAGCTATGATGATGCCATTGTATTCTAGCCTGGGCAACAAAGCAAGAACTTGTTTAAAAAAAAAAAATACAATGAGAGAATCATAGAGAGAGAAGCTTTCCTTTTCTCTGGGCAACTATCCAGAAAACATAGTAATTAGGAAACCTGTAGAATTTCTTTGCAAATGGACTACAGTGAGGGAAGATGACACATTACCTTTAGCAAAGTTGTATTTACAGGGTTCAGGCGGGAATTGCATTCAACCTAAAATTTAAAAACAGGAGAAAGCAATTTTATAAATTGCTAGAAAATAAGAAACAGCTCAGCGTGAGAAATGACCTTGCAAGATCAACAGCTCAGACAGAGAATGGCTGAACCAGCATAAGAGATTACCAAAATACATAGTGGGAGATATATGATGTACTTCATATCTGATATTTCTGAGTAGATCTAAAAACTGGCTAATTTCACTTTCTGAATCTAGTATAAGTAGAGTCTGTAAAGAATTACATGCTCAATCCAATTCTTCCTACTGGGTAGCTACATAACAGGAAGGCAGTTACCTTACTTCATTAACAAGTGAACTAAGCGGTGGCCCTCTCCTGCTGGGCTCTGTTGATGGCTTCCCAGCACAACAGGCCATGAAGACTGAGCCCCAGGTACCCACCCCACCTCCCTTCTCACCCCTCTCCCAGGCTCCTAGGGCAGTGAGGTTCCTGTTCCTTCTATCCTATCTCTTTTCTGCTTCCAGGTCTTTGGCTATCCAAGTTTAAAGTTGAACTCTTTTGATTTTTTCTCACAGCAGCCATTGTAACGAAGAACTATTAATATAACCCTGTGTATTTATGTATTTGGTATCTATTACAAATGAGTTTTTAACCATGAAAGCAGAGACCTCAAAGAAAATGTTTTGAAGGACAATCTCTGGGTCCAGCAATGTTTTAGGGCTAATTTGATCAACCAGATGTCTCCTTTTACCTGTTTGCCATGAAAATCTGTGCTAAGATTTTGGAATCCAGTGTGGTGAAAACATGTAATACAAAGCAAAATGAAACCACTTCAAAAATTTCACAACTGAGCTGAATGATGAGTAGGATTTCTACAGATGGATGGAGAGAAGAGGTAGGTGCTTGAAGGCTTCCAGAGTTGGGGGGCAAGCATAAGCAAAGACCCAGGAGGCGGGAAGCAAACGCCACAGAGGCAGCTGTGAGGCTAGGGTGCACTGAGGGGCGAGGCTGGGGGCAGGCTGGAGCTAACTGTGGAAGTCAGGAGGCCACACACGGTGTCTGAGGTAACAGATTTGAGTTGCTTTAGGACAGCAGTGGCTATATGACAGACTGCAGAGGCAGCGAGCCAGTTGAGGAGTTATTAAAATTACCGAGGCAAGAACCACTATTAGAGCTGAACATTTGCTCTGGGGATTGCAGAGCAAATCCACTGGGTGGGCATGTATACAAACTCTTCTAAAATGAGGGGATAATCTAAAGGCCAGGATCACCAAATCAGAGTTTTGATTTGCTATATACAAAGGAAAATGCAGGCACTGATAAACAAATGTACCAGTTACTATAGAATGTGCATTAACTCTAAAAAGTAGGATTTGAAAACTGGATCCCTGTCTGACACAGTGCTTAGAACATAGTAGATATACTACAAATATTTTCTAGAAGAATGAGCTCCCAAGTCTAGATTTAATATAATAAATCATAGTTTCCTTCATTCACTTTGTAATTTCTATAACATTATAATAAGTCTTGATATCTGGTAAGCCAACCATAATTTGTGGTTTTTAATATGTCTACCCCTTCCCCAGCTCCCTGAATACAGAGATTCCACTTTATTTTCATATTCTCCATAGCACCGAGCAAATAGATGGTGAAAAAATGATGTTAAATTAATAAGTGAGCAAGAACAGCTAGCAACAGTGACTAGAACTTTGTGAATTATCTTCTTGCTCTTCCTTTCCTCTTAATCTCTACCAACTTGTGGATAAAATGCTCTGGCAGAGGAGCTAGGTTAGACTGTGTAAAGAAGAGAATCTACTCTACGGCACAGATGGGCTCCTGAAGTTCTTCTCTAATAAACATCGAGGGTGTGGAAATCAGAAAGAGGACGAGAACTTATCTATTTTAAATTACATAGTCTTGAAAAATAATTGCAAATGTTGCTTTAAGTCTACACAATTCAAAAAAGGCAGGCCAGGTGCGGTGGCTCACACCTGTAATCCTAGCACTCTGGGAGGCCGAGGCAGGAGGATTGCTTGAGCTCCAGACCAGCCTGAGCAAGAGCAAGACTCTGTCTCTACTAAAAATAGAAAAAAATCAATTGGTCAACTAAAAATATATAGAAAAAAAAATTAGCTGGGCATGGTGGCGCATGCCTGTAGTCCCAGCTACTCGGGAGGCTGACGCAGGAGGATTGCTTGAACCCAGGAGTTTGAGGTTGCTGTGAGCTAGGCTGATGCCACAGCACTCTAGCCCAGGCACAGAGTGAGACTGTGTCTCCAAAAAACACAAAAACACAGGCAAATAACTTTAGACCCAAGATTCACAGAAATACTTAATTCAGTATAATAAGGCAATTCTGATTAAGCGTATTTTCTAAAAACAATCCTACTTTCCTGTTTTAAGTAAATATGTCTATTAAAAACCTTTTTTGATAGATATTTTTGTAGCATGTGTTTCCTATCTTTTTAGCTTGAAAAGACTGACAAAGCTCCTTCTTGATAAATTGTGATCACCACTATAACCTTATTATCTTTGAGGAATTTTATTTAAGTGGGATGGGATTTAGAGTTATTTGTCCCTGTAAGCCATGCCATGTATTTTATATCAGACACAATGTTTTACAGGGCAATGCACAGAGACGTGAATATATTCTATCTTCACATTTATTTCACCCTATAAACATTCTCCCTGCCCCACAAACCTACTCACCTATGTCTACCCCTCTATTTATTTATTAGACTTCATTTCCAAAAAGCCTCACTCCTCAATGTTTTACTCCATATAGGGCAGAAGTGAAGGCAGCCAAAGAAAATCAAGCAATTTCACACAGATACTTATATACATTATACGCTATACGTTATACTTAGATACGTTATACGCTGTGGGAAAGACGTAATAGACATATGACAAACTGTCAACTTCAGGCTGGGCATGGTCGCTCATGCCTGTAATCCTAGCACTTTAGGATGTCAGAGGCCAGAGGATTGCTTAAGACCAGGAGATGGAGACCAGCCTGAGCAAAATGGCGAGACCCCATATCTACAAAAAATAATAATTACAAAAAAATAGCCATGTGGTGGCACATGCCTGTAGTCCCAGCTAGTTAGGAGGCTGAAGCAGGATCACTTCAGCCTAGGAGTCTGAGGTTGCAGTGAGCTATGATTATGCCACTGAACTTGCCAGGGTGACACAGTGAGCCCCTATCTCTAAAACAAAGAAACAAAAATATATATATATACCAATATATATCCTTCCTAGAAAGGAATCTGGGAAAATGTATAAAAAACCTTATACAGGGCTTTTAGACAAATTAATTCCACTTCTGGAAACCCATCCCAAAGAACTAATCAAAGATTCAGTCAAAGATTTTATAAGGATGTTTAGTAGCAACATTATTATTATTATTTTTGAGAGAGGGTCTTGCTCTGTCACCCAGGCTAGAGTGCAGTGGCCTGATTATAGCTCACTGTAACCTCAAACTTCTCAGTTTAAGTGATACTCCTGGGGTGCTGGGACTACAGGCATATGCCACCATGCCCAACTTATTTAAAATATTTTTGTATAAAGAGGGTCTTGCTATGTTGTGCAGCCTGGTTCTGAACTCCTGGCCTCAAGCAATCCTCCTGCCTCGGCCTCCCAGAGTGCTAGGATTACAGGCGTGAGCCACTGCACCGGGCCCAAAATCTTTCTTTCTTTTTTGAGACAGAGTCTCACTCCATTGCCTAGGCTAGAGTGCCATGGCGTCAGCCTAGCTCACGGCAACCTCAAACTCCTGGGCTCAAGTAATCCTCCTGGTCAGCCTCCCGAGTAGCTGGGACTAGATGCACGCACCACTGCGCCCAGCTAATTGTTTCCAGGCAATAGCCACCGCATCCGGCCCCAAAATCTTGTTTATTTAATATAATCAGGTTTATGTTAAAGCAAAAGATAATGGTTTGTCTTTGGGTAACAGGATAATAATTTACTCCCCATCATATTTTTAAATTTTTTCATATTTTCTGTAATAAGCATAAATCATTTTTATCAATGTGCTATGTCCTTGAGAAGGAGGTAGAGTCATGGTGGTAACCTATTTCACATTGAAGGCTGAGGCTGCCAGAAATATGACAATAAGTAAATGCTGATTAGTTATACTATTTCCACAAAGTGAATTGCACCACACAAAGCAATCAAGGCAATACTGATTCCATGTGATGAAACCTAGTGACTGATGAGGAATTAATTTTCCAAACTGAATAAAGAGCAAAGCCTGACATATGCAATCAGAAATAACAAAAACTAGTGTTTACCAACTGTTTCCAGTGTGTCAGCAGTGTGCTACATACAGTTTATTACATCTGAATCTCATTCATCTTCACAACATCAGGACATACTTACCACAGCCTCAACTGCAGGTGAATTGTCCCCTACCACCAGCAAAGTTGAACACCTAGGGAAAGGCAAAATTAGAGGAGTCACTCAGCAAACAGGCATATAAACTCCACTAAGCACTGGATTAGTCTATGAAAGATATTTAGCAATTCGGTGATCAAACCGAGGGACTTACTTTAATGTTTTTAATTTGTTATCATTTTGGCCCAGAATGGGTCTTTCAATCCCCAGGTCTCTGCGTCTAGAAAAACAAAGGAGAAGTGATGTTCTTTTCAGGTAAAATCACAGCAACTCAGGTGACTTCCTGGTCAGAATCAGCAAGATGTATCAAGGAATGTGGAAACTATCTTTCCTTCACGCCTGAGGAGGGAAGGGCCCTGTGTGCTTGTCCTCGAGCAGCCACTTCATGGCATCCTGAGTGGTCCAGAGCAGGAACCAGGCTCTTGGCTCAATCCTGGGGGACTCTGTGGGAGACTATTTCACAAAAGGAGACGATATCAAAACTCAACAGTAATGCTGCTGAAGTCCTCAAGTCCCAAGTGTTTAATTTTCCACCTAGTTTCTAGGAGTAAATTCCCTACAAGATGGGAATTACTTACACCTTTTTTGGTGGTGGTGGTAGTGGGGTTTTCCTTGTAACTAACAGAGTTTAGCATAGAATCTTTCTGATTTCAACTAAAAACAGGGAGGCTCTGTTATACAGAGGAAATAGAGAGACAAGGTTCAAAGTCTGGCTTTGCTCCTCACTGTATAACTGGCTGTACAATTTTGTGTAAGTTGCAGCTGATTAATTTCCTCAATCTTTGTCCATGTTCCCAGGAACTTAGAAGGAGCTAACAATTTTACCTTGGAGAAGCTGGTCCCAAGATAAGATTCAGCACTCTCTCTCTCTCTCAGTGACTGGGGGAATGTGACAGTTAAGTTTTGGAATACACAAATACAAGAGAATTTACTGGTGTCCATGTGTTACTTCTGCCTGATGACAAGATACCAGCAAAGACAAATTAAAAATCAAGGCCTATGACTTCTCTCCATTGTCTTCCCTATATGCATTTTCCTGTGCTCCCTCGATTTCTTTGTGTATGTTTCTGTGTACATAACTTAGGTACCTTTTGTCTCAAAACTTCTTAAAACTACAACTGGTATTTGAACATGCCCCAAACTGCTTTTAGTTCACTTATTCTTTCTGAAGGCTGTTTTCATATGTCTTAAAGCCCTTCCCCTTCTACCATGGTGAAACAACACAAAAGCAATCCCATCATACAACAATGGGAATAGTTTATCACCCCTTCCCATCTCCCGTAAATGCCAATTATCTTTTTAGACCTTTCTGCATTTAAGTGAAGGAATAGGAAACAACTGTACCCATTATAGGAACCCAGGAAGAGCTGCAGGTTGTCTTGGTTGATATCTTGGGCTATATGCAGTCTGTAGGTCTGAATCAGGTCCAGGTTGGCCTGTAACTCTTCCTAGAGAATTGAAAGAAGACATAGGTAAACTTCTGAGCTGCAGAACAAGTCCATCTTCTTTCTTTCTTTCTTTTTTTGAGACAGAGTCTCACTTTGTTCACTTTGTTGCCCAGTCTAGCTCATAGGAACCTCAAACTCCTGGGCTCAAGTGATCCTCCTGCCTCAGCCTCCCGAGTAGCTGGGACTACAGGCAAGTGCCACCATGCCCGGCTAATTTTTTCTATATATATATTAGTTGGCCAATTAATTTCTTTCTATTTTTAGTAGAGACGGGGTGTTGCTCTTGCTCAGGCTGGTTTTGAGCTCCTGACATTGAGTGATGCACCGGCCTCGGCCTCCCAGAGTGCTAGGATTACAGACAGACGTGAGCCACTGCACCTGGCCCATCTTCTTTCTTTTCGAGACATTGTCTCACTGTCACCCAGGCTGGAGTATAGTGGTATAATCATAGCTTACTGCAGCCTCAAACCTCTGGGCTCAAGTGATTCTTTTGCCTCAGCCTTCAAGCAGCTGGGATTACAGGTGGTTTGTATTTTCAGTGTGAAAAGGCAAATTTTGCTGCCCATGATGGGAAATAGAGCAAAGTATGGGGGCTACTGATGTACTGGCAGGCTGAATGGTTAAACCTTTTTTATTTGCACCAGACTGGTTCAGTGGGCATATTCTGTATCAGATGAGGGTATCAGAGAATCTATTACGAATTCAAGTACTAGCTATGGAACTTAGGTCACCTAACCATTCTGAACCATGGTTCCTTATTTGTGTGGGTTTTTATTATTCTGTTTTATTTTTTAGAGATGGAGGTCTCACTACATTACCCAGGCTGGACTTAAACTCAGAGAGTCTCTGGGTCCAAACACAGTAGCTTGTGGTCTTATAACTATAAAGCTCTATCTTATCAATGGCCAGCAGATGTGATATGAAGTTTTTTAGAATATGCAAAGCAAGAAGCCTGTAAATGGCTAAATATGCTTGTTTGGGCTATTTTAAAAAGAATTGGATGCATAAAAATTTCATTTTGGGGGATGGAGGGCTTTTGAGCTAATAGTCTGTAGTGAAGACATAAACAATCTAGGAACCAATCCACAGAGGCCATCATTGACTCATTTATACTAGTTACCAAACCAGTCCAGACTAAAGCAAGGGAGAATGCCACAGGAGAGAATTCTTCAAGAAGATGAAAATGACAGAATACCTGATGTACTTAACTAAACTGAACAAGGAGATTCATAGTACAGGGCAGAGCGTCTGAAATGTTTATAATGCTAGAACAGCAAGCAATACAAACAAAAATAAAAATAGGACAACTATTAACTCAAGTGAACACAAAATATTGTACAGAAAAGCAGTGATGGCCCAGCCCCGAATAACAATTTATATAGACATGATACTATAAATGGTAGAATTTGATCTAACACAAATTCTATTATATTGGGAAGATAAGGGTAGTGGAAAATAGAAATGTGTGTCATGGGGACAAGGGGTGTGTGTGTGGAAGAGAGAGAGAGAGATAGATATCACCTGCCATAATGGAAAGCCAACAGATAATGCCTACAAATGAAAAATTAACAAGTGGAAGGATATGCATCTTTACAGAGATGGAGGCAAAGAGAATTTAGTGCATATATCCAAAAAGACAGGTATAAGAATGTACACTGCAGCTTTATTCATAAGAGTAAAAAAAAAAAAATTCTGAAAACAATCCATATGTTCATTTATAGGAGAATAATTTGTGGTATATTAATACAATGGACAGCTGCTACACAGTAACAAGAAAGAAGGAACTCCTGACACATGGAATAACATGGATGAATCTCAAAGATAGTATGTTGAACAAAAGAAGCCAGACCTAGACAAGTGTACCCTGTATGATTCCATTTAGGTGAAGTTCAAAAATAGGCAAAAATAATCTATAGAGGTAACACAATAGTGAATACCTGGTTTGGGGTGCAGGATTGGTGAATAGGAAAGGACAAGAAGAAACCTTTGTGGAGTGAGGGAAATGCTCTATATCATGATTTGGGCAATGGTTACATGGGAGTATACATAGGTAAATGGCGATTGAGATACACTTACCATTTGTGCACTATAGTGTATGTAAGTTACACCTGAGTTGGGGAGAGAGCACTATGGAGGCAAAACCCAAAAGAATCAGCTAGAAGAATTAGAGTGGTTGCCTCTAATCAGCACAAAATGGGGTGGGTGGCAGATTCTTTGTAATAAGTCCTACAGAACTTCTCTACTCTAAAATATATATGAATTTGTAACTTCAATAAAAACATTACAAAATAAAAGACTACGGGCTTTGGAGTTGGCCAGACCTGGATTCAAATGTCAGTCCCACCCCTTACTATATGGATAGTGGTGGCAAGTTACTTTGCCTCTCTCGCCTTGAGTTTCCCTGTCTTACAATTGGGCTGAAAGAACCATGTAAAAAAATAACTGAGTTTGTGCACCTAAGTACTTACCATATATAATGAGTACTCAGTAAATGCTAGTTTTCTCTCTACCTACCATCTTCCTTCAGATGATATAGAAAATTAACTGGGCTGGACCCGGTGGCTCACGCCTGTAATCCTAACACTCTGGGAAGCCGAGGTGGGTGGATCGCTCTAGGTCAGGAGTTCAAAACCAGCCTGAGCAAGAGTGAGACCCGTCTCTACTAAAAATAGAAAGAAATTAATTGACCAACTAAAAATATATAGAAAAAATTAGCCGGGCATGGTGGTGCATGCCTGTAGTCCCAGCTACTCGAGAAGCTGAGGTACGAGGATCACTTGGGCCCAGGAGTTTGAGGTTGCTATGAGCTAGGCTGGTGCCATGGTACTGTAGCCCAGGCAACAAAATGAGACTGCAACTAAGCACCCATTAACCCTGTTCATGCTGTGTTCATCTCCCTACTCCAAACACCTCACAGCTCTGATCCCATTACTCACTTACTTGATCACTGCTTTAGAAGTTGCCCCCCTTACTTTTCCCTTTGGAAAAGGAATCGGGGTTCCCCAACCCACCAGTTGAGTCGCCTCCTCCACTCAGCAATTATCCACATAACTGCAACTTCTTCTGTAGAATTCAGTTTCCTCACCAGTAAAAAGAACAAACCATGAGGACTGAACAAGATAATCTCTAAGGTTCTTTCAGCACTAACATTTCATGGTTTCTATTTCCACTGAAATTTCTATTTCTGTGATACCTTTCCCAGACCTCCTCATGGCTCTAAAGATGTTTGGAGAGGCACGTGATGTTGTCAAACACTAACAGATGGCATGCTACTTACAGGAACAGGTGGAGAGAGACACTATCTTCTCTCCTCTCTCCAAATGTCAAGAGCCATGTGGCACAGAGTTAATGCTTCTCCCATAAGAGTGGCCTTTCCAGGACTACATGCATCTCAGCCTGCACGGGAAGTGTTTTCTGCTAGGATCAGGTAAATTCTAAGGCACCCTTCTTTCCTGAGGTAAAATAAGGATTCGCATGCAAGCCAATAAACACAGCTTGCCTAGTTGAACAGGCACTTACCTGACCAAAGTGATGAGCCAAAATAATGTCCACAACATTGGTTGTCAGGCCTGAGAGCTAAAAAGATAACAACTCTTGAGTCAAGAGTAAGCATATATAAAAATTTATCAAGCTGTCTACTTGAATTAGCACACTTTATTTCTGCATTTACGTTGGATTTATGGCTGATAAGGATTATCTTATAACCACTCCAAAGTGGCCCAAGAAACAAAAACAATTTGTTTTTCATTCTTCCAGTTTTTGCTATCTTCATTTAAGGCCCTGAGAGGAAATGGCTATGTTTACAAAATGTTCTTGTGTTATGAACATTTTCTCCTAAATCTTCCCATTTCAAAATGATGCATCTCGGTCTAATAAACGCAGCAATCTACATAAATGTAGAGACTGTTAAGTCTACTTTCAGAAAATTTCCAACTCAAATTATGTTGTTGATTTCTCTTAAGCCTTCTTGCATGGTTTTATAATGAATTCCTACTGCTGACTTGGATCAGCGGTGAAGTACTGAGCTGGGGTAGGAATGGAGAAGAGGTGAGAGACAAACATGGGTATGGATGGAGCAGGACCACATAGTCCCAAAAAGATCAAGGAAGAAAGAAGTCCTGAAATCTTCATATGAGTTATCAGGTTATAAATTAAGTTAAAATTATCTTCATAAATTAAAGGTAATTAGAGTAAATAATCTCATTTGAATAATAATTTCATTTTTAATATTCATAAATGCTCATAAATCTGAAGTTTTATAAGAATTTTACTAGGTTGTTACATGTGATGGAGAGTGCGTGGGTAAGTGTTAATGTATCCACATGCTAGATAAGAATTAGGACAAATGTGACTTAAGTCAGGCTGTAAGAAAGAACACCAACAGCATCTGGCAATAGCACTGTTAATATGTTTCATCCAAAGCTAGGGAATACACCATTTCTCCAAAACTTAAATTTGGGGAGAGATGGATAAATTGTCTGGAATGTGGTCTACTGGTAAGTAGAATATTTTAATAGTTTAAAATATAAAATTAATTTATGCTTATCATAGAAAATTAGGAAAAAATAGAATATGAAAAAACATCATTGTGATACTACCAGCCAAAGATGTAACTACTAGCAAGACATCTTCCCTCTTTGCTTATGCATATGTATTTCACAAAACTGGGATCATATTATATAGCTTCATGTCTGTTTTTCACTAACATGAGAATTTTCTCATTTCCTTAAATAACCAATTAACATAATTTTTTGATTGTACAGTTTTCCACACAATTTTGTTAACCTATATTATTGGCACTTTGGCTGTTTCCATCTTTTTGCCTTATAAACACTGCTTTAATGAATTTCCTGGCTCTGCAACTTACTAGTTACTTGACCTCAAGCAAATGACTTAATTTTTCCATGGGATAATACTGGTACCACTTCACTGGGTTGTCCCTGAGAATGAAAAGTTTAAATACACATAACAGATTTAAGAATAGTGCCTGGCACATAATAAGTACTATGTAGATGTTAGATTTTTTAAAAACATTATTATCCTTCTATTTAAATCTTTGTAAGTATCACTAACTACACTTCAAATAAGTTCTTAGATGTCAAATTATTGGATTTCATGGTTTCAGTGTCAATAAAGACTATAAATACATGTGATCGGTTAGGTGGTAGTGTTTTAGAGACTAAATCCTCCAGTGGTGCATCAGAAAAAACATTCATCGTGACTTAGAAATATTTAGAAGTAGACATTTGTATAAAAATGAGATTAATACAACAGGCATCTTTTAGTAGGCAATAAAGGTTTACGTTATTTTTGTCTCTGGAAAACATCTCTGTTTTAATTTAGAATTCCACAGTTTTAGATTAAAATAACATACAAATAACATTTGTACTTCAGCAAGAAAATGTTCCAAAACTGCTTCCTTTCCAATCTAAAAACAGTGAATTATTTTTAGCATAGGTGAGTTCAATGCAAATGGGATATAATATAATGCCTTTTTCCTTATGCCCTCTTTTTACTTAGGTTTGGTACTGGGATTATTTATATTTGTGAAATCATTAGCATTCCCCTTTCATTTCCTATCTCCTTAAACAGATTTTAGAGGCTAAATGCCTTCATTTTTTAGTTAACAAACATCAATAATCCACATGTCTCTGGGAGCAGCAGCACAGATAACCTGTTTGGGTTCATTGAAGAGAGTGATTCATTCATTTATTTCATTAAGAGAGTAAAATGGAAACCACAGACTAGGAGAAGATATCTGAGATACATGTACCCAGCCCAGCAAAAGACTTTTTTTTTTTTTTTTTTTGAGACAGAGGATCACTCTGTTGCCTAGGCTAGAGTGCCCCGGCGTCAGCCTAGTTGACAGCAACCTCAAACTCCTGGGCTCAAGCAATCCTGCTGCCTCAGCCTCCCGAGTAACTGGGACTGCAGGCATGCGCCACCATGCGCGGCTAATTTTATATATGTATGTATATATATATATATATATATTTTTTTTTTAGTTGGCCAATTAATTTCTTTCTATTTTTAGTAGAGATGAGTTCTCACTCTTGCTCAGGCTGGTCTCGAACTCCTGAGCTCAAAAGATCCGCCCATCTCGGCCCTCCCAGAGTGCTAGGATTACAGGCATGAGCCACTGTGCCTGGCCCCAGCAAAGGACTTATATGCAGAATATTTTTTTTAAAGGGCAAGAATATGAGGGCAAAAGACATTAACAGGCATTCCACAAGAGGATAGTCAAGAAGAGGTGTTTGATATCATTGCCCCTTAGGGAAATGCAAATTAAACCCCAGTATTATTTACCTATAAGTATAGCTTAACATTTTAAAAAATGGTATAATTAAAAATCACTTTAATAACTTAAGCTATTTTGTTGATGGGTACCATATAAAAACAAACTGAGATTACTACCAATAAAACTGCTCATCTTTCATAAAAATTAAAAGGACTGATAATAGCAAATGTTGATAAGGATGTGAAACAACTAGAACTTTCATGCATTGCTTGTGTACTATAAACTGAAATTAAACCTTAAGGTTAAGACACCCACAGGCTGACTGTATGGACCCCCTCATGGCCAAAGGAAGATCCTAAAACTAAATTGCCCACCATAAGGAGGGAGGTCAGTCATGCCTCATCATGTCCTACTCCCTTCTTGAGGACATCCTTTGTAACCCATTAACAGGCCTAAGGACATGCAAAACAAACCTACAGGTCCTCAATGTACAAAACAAATATATGTCCAGTGGTTTATCTCTGATAAATAGCTCCTTATGACAAAACATACCAAGTCTTAGACAAAGCTTCATGTCTTTAACCAATTACAAGTGAAAGAATCTTTAAACCCACCTATAACCTGTAAGCACCCCCTTCGAGATGGCCCACCTTTTCTGGACAAACCAATGTATGCCTTCTATATATTTATTTATGAATTTCCCTGTAACTCTTGTCTCACTGAAATGTATAAAACCAAACTGTAACCCAGTCACAGAAAGTCAACTTGCTCAAGCTTCTTGGGTGTGGCTCCTCCTCAAATTTGGCTCACAGTAAATGTCTTTAAAATTATTTTACAGAGTTTGCCTATTTTTTTCTTTTCCGTTAACAGTACAAACTGGTCAAATACTTTGGAAAACTGTTGGTAATATCTACTGAAGCTAAACATACAACTACCCTATGACTCAGTAATTTCACTCCTAGGTAGAATAAGAAAGAAATAAAAGAAATAAATGTGTATGTCTACTGAAATATGTAAAAGAATATGCATAGCAGCTTTATTCTTAAGATCTAAATAACAAAAACAACTTATTCTGTATATTTGCATAATAGGTTACTAAACAGCAAATAAAAAGAACTACCGCTACACAAAACATGGATGAATCTTACAGACAAAAAGATGAATGAAAGAAGCTAGACACAAAAGAATACATTTTCTATGATTTCAATTTAAGAAAACATAAACCAGTTTAAAAACAGATAAAAGCTATCTCATGGTGATAGAAGTCAGAATAAGGTTATTTCTGGGAAAAGGAGGAGTGTCAATTAGGAAAAGGCATGAGGGAATTCTCTAGAGCTGGCAATATTTTGTGTATTGATTTGGTCTTGATACCATATGTAAACATTCCTCAAGCTGTACACTTAAAACTTTTTGCTCTTAACTATATATATTCCATAATGAAAGATATAATAAATAAGCTGTTTTGAGAAGGGTGAAGATGAACCGATGGATACCTTCATTTGTTACTTACTTTGGAAGCTGCCCAGTCAATCCAGCCTTTAGCACAAGGGTCAACATTAATGAGCACAAGGCCTTCCACAAGCTCTGGATGATTGAGCTAAGACAAAAACAACAATATGAAAGTTCCACTCCAACAGTTCTTCTAAAGAGTTGGAACATGGTTAATCAATTCTTACTATGCCTTAATGCCTGATGTTTGAAAGTTAGACTACAGAGCAGTGGCTAAGAAGTTTATGTAGAAAAATAGCTCTTAAAATCTGACTTAACATCTGGAACAAGTTTTGTTTTTTGTTTTTTTTTCTGAGACAGAGTCTCGCTGTGTTGCTCGCTGTAGAGTGCCGTGGCGTCAGCCTAGGTCACAGCAACCTCAAACTCCTGGGTTCAACCAATCCTTCTGCCTCAGCCTCCCAAGTAGCCTGGACTACAGTAGTCCATGTGGCACCATGCCCAGCTAAGTTTTTCTACATATTTTTAGTTGTCCAGCTAATTTCTTTCTATTTTTAGTAGAGACAGGGTCTCACTCTTGCTCGGGCTGGTCTCGAACTCCTGACCTCGAGCCATCCACCAGCCTTGGCCTCCCAGAGTGCTAGTGTTACGAGCATGAGCCACAACGCCCAGCCTGGAAACAAGTTTCTTAAATCACTATCGAATGATCTTGCTTTCCAAGGTTCTATACCAAAGACAGTTTTTTTTCATTTCTACAGCAGAGGAAAGCACTTGATTTGTCTGCAGTTGTTCGACTCATGGTAGGTCTTCCCTACTGGGAAAATGCTCTTGGAATTACCTGGCATACAGGGCTGCTCGGGCATAGAAGGGCTGTTTCACATTCATATATCTGTGTTCCAAATAGGGGCTCCTGAAGTTTTTTCCTGAAACCACCTGAATATGTGATACCATGATGGCGTGAGCCACCTTGCCCAGCCTAGGCCTTACTTTCAATTGACAATGTACTCCCCTCATCTCTGGTTTTTCAGGGACTGTAAGTACAAAGCAAGACTCCATCTGAAGCACACAGAATTCACAGAAAAACTGACATAAGACCCAGAATAGTGCCTGGTCATTTAACACAGCACTAACATCTGTGACCTAGGCAGTGCCTCAAGGGTACTGAATCCTCTCTACATACTTACTGCAAATCTGCTGAGGATGTAAGCTCCAGCTCCAACTCCAATCCCAATGATGCTTTTCAGACTGTGAATGGGGCATACCAACAATTGACAGAGTCAACTTCATTTGGAGCAGCATTACACAATGAAAAGAAAACAACCCAAATCCTGGCTCTGACATTTACTAGACGTGAGCAAGTCTAGTGGGCAAGTTTTTTTTTTTTGGTAACCTTCTCAATTCCCCACCTATAAACAAGGATATCACCACCTACTTTCAAGTTGGTTTTAATGGCTAAATAAAATATGACTGAAACCTGGCTCACTGTCCTATCACCTCAATATAAATCCATCAGAAAGTCAAGTGCAGTTTATCTCTAGAATGTTTCCATCTATCTCCATCTGCTTCAGCCCCTCTCCCGACAGCATCTGGTCCTTGTCTGTTTCTTGAATTTCACTCCATGCCTTTCTTCCACTTGCTCATCTGGCCCAGGGCCTTTGGACATATTCTTTCTGTCTGGAATCCTCTTGCCCTGGCTGTCTGTCTAGGTGGCTCCTTTTCATCTTCCAGGTCTCAGGCTAGATGACCCCTTCCCAGAGAGATGTTCCCTAACTAGCCTCATTTGTGTAGACCCTGCCTTTATTCTCTAACCCAGGGGTCCTCAAACTTTTTTTTTTTTTTTTTTGAGACAGAGTCTCACTTTGTTGCCCAGGCTAGAGTGAGTGCCGTGGCGTCAGCCTGGCTCACAGCAACCTCAATCTCCTGGGCTCAGCAATCCTACTGCCTCAGCCTCCCGAGTAGCTGGGACTACAAGGCATGCGCCACCATGCCGGCTAATTTTTGTATATATATTTTAGTTGGTCATTAAATTCTTTCTATTTTTGGTAGGAGACGGGTCTCGCTCAGGCTGGTTTCAAACTCTGACCTTGAGCGACTCCGCCGCCTCGGCCTCCCAAAGTGCTAGGATTACAGCGTGAGCCCACGCGCCCGGCCTCAAACCTTTTTAACAGGGGCCAGTTCACTGTCCCTCAGACCATTGGAGAGTGCGCACTGTGGAGCCAGGATTAGTTCGGCTGTAAGCAGACAGGCAGGCGTCAAAACCACCCGGTGGGCCGGATAAATGTCCTAGGTGGGCAGCATGGCCCATGGGCCATAGTTTGAGCGCACTGCTCTAACCAAACACCCCCACTACTTTTTCATGCACTTAAGTGTGTCTGTTTGATTCCTGTTAACCCACTAACTCCAGGAGAAGAGCGACTATTGTTTTATTTTACCATCCTATCCTCTGGAACACACATTACAGAATTGACTACACAAAGTCAATAAAAACTGTGAAAGACTGCAGAAGGAACCTACCTCAAGTGGGTAAGAACAGGAGGCAGCATCTCAGCCAGCTCATCCATTGTGGGGTACTGGTACCTGAAATCCAGAAGGATATCTCCTGAATTAGAAACCACTCACAATTCTCAGTACTAGAAAGTAACTAGCTGGAAAGACAGGAGGCTTAGATAAAAACATTTGTCTTACCAAAAGCTCAAAAGAGGTAATGTGAAACATGTGGCATGTTATATAATCTCTATGACTTACATGCTAAAAAGAAAGCAAAAGAACCCCATGTTTCTGTATCCTAAAGAATATCTCTGGGCCGGCGGCGGGTGGCTCGACGCCTGTAGTCTAGCTCTCTGGGAGAGCCGGAGCGGGCGGATTGCTCGAGGTCAGGAGTTCGAAACCAGCCTGAGCAAGAGCGAGACCCCGTCTCTACTATAAATAGAAAGAAACAATGGCCAACGATATTATATAGAAAAATTAGCCGGATGTGGCGCATGCCTGTAGTCCCAGCTACTTGGAGGGCTGAGGACAGAAGATCGCTTGAGCCCAGGAGTTGAGGGCTGTAGCTAGGCTGACGCCACGGCACTCACTCTAGCCTGGCAACAAAGTGAGACTCTCGTCTCAAAAAAAAAAAAAAAAAAAAAAAAAAAGAATAGTCTCTGGACCAGACGAAAGCCATGTGAGAGAACTGGTAATATGGTTCTCTTACAGGTGTTCCAACCCACTCAAATGCGGTCCGGCTCAATAAACTTTCAGCAGTAAAAAGTCAACTCAGAAGTGGCTCTTTGCTACAGCTTATATTAGGCAGCAAAACACAAACATAAACAAGTTCATGGGGCCTAGGACAGTTGACATCCTGAGCATGAATGTTTATTTGTAACTATAGGATAACATGGTTATTTTGAATTGTTTGGATTTGGTTCACATATGAGCCATTTGATCCTAAATGGTCAGGCAAGCCCAGAAACGACCCAAGCCAGGAATCCAAGAAAGCAAGCGCATTCACAGAGTACAAATCAGGAGATGAAAAGATGCTAAGATGGACAGCTCCTGTATGTGATGCAGGGTGCTTTACATTTGACAGGGAAGTCAGCCTGCCTCTGCGTCGAACACTTTAGAGAGAGGGAGTGCTCTGAACTCATGTGTACAAAAAAGAGGAAAAGGAGGATGCCAGGAGCGTGATGGATAAGAGGAGCGAGGGGGCCAGAGCGATGTGAAGCAGAGAGAAGAGCAATGTGGACCGACGCGACGAGGATGCGAGCCGAAGAGCGGTGAGGCAGAAGTCCCTGCTCGCTACGTACTTTCTTTGAATGTTTAATCTTAGCCGAGGTTATTGAGCGCGTGTGTTCGAGAGGTGTAAAAGATAATTAACTAAGACTTAACGCGTTATCCATAGTTATGAAGAGAAGAGAGAGAGAGAGAGTGAGGGCGAGGCAGCCATCTGGACATGAGTACGGTGGTTAAGGGAGCGGCAGCGGCAAGGTGCGTGATGCACGGAGCAGGTTCGAACAGAAGAGGGCGGGAGAAGAGAGAGGAAGAGAGAATAGCAGTCCCACGGGTGTGGCTCTCTCCACTTCCTCCTCCTGTCCTGTGGATAAGCCACATCTGTCCAAAACAGACAGGAAGCCTAGGACCTGCCCATGCAAAAGCAGCTTGTGGGTTGAAGCTGGCATGCCAAGGCCAGTCACGACGTGCACCTCTATACTGCCAGGAAAGCCTCTCCAAATTAGAGGTTACACAGACATGCAATGTCCATCACTAGCATTAGGAACTGAAGGATGGAGAGTTTCCCAGGTTGCTCAGGATCTGAATTTTGGGCCTGTTAGTTGGAGTTCCAGGAGAGGGACTCGAAAACACAGATTAAAAGTAGACAAGAACGACAATAAAAAGATGAGAGGCCGGCGTGTGGCTCAACGGCCTATATCCAGCACTCTGGGGAGGAACAAGAGGGGCAGGAGTCTTTTGAGCTCAGGAGTTCAGGACAGCCTAGCAAGAGCGAGCCTTTCTCACCTATAAATAGAAAAAGAATAATTGGCCAACTATATGATATAGAAAAAAAATTAAGCTGGCATGTGGCGCATGCCTGTTGCGCCAGGCCCAGTTACTTAAGGGGAGCTGAGGCGCAGATTGCTTTGAGCTCAGGAGTTTGAGGGTTGCTTGAGAAGCTGACGGGCGCACGCACTCCACTCTAGCCTGGGAAATAAAGCGAGACTCTGTCTCAAAAAAAAAAAAAGATGGTGAGAAGTAGGGTTACCAGACACTTTTGCTTTCTCATTATAGGAAAGCAGGTTCCTGCTATGAAGAGCGATTCCTGGATATGGGAAAACATGCAGTTCCCCCCAACAGACCACACATAACAGTCCTCTCAGGCCCCAGAGACAAAATGTGAGGATGGTTGGTTGGTTAGGTACAACCTATTGGTTGTGATAAAATCAAGTGGGAGGGAAGCACACACTGCTTCCACTGCAGCTAAGTCATTTGCTCTTCTGAGTGCATGTCTCTCGGAAGATCTTGCTTGTGGCCTTACCCTGTTGGGAAAGGGGGTGCACCTTCCTGCTGGCCTGGGGCATCCACATGGCAGACAGCAAAGTGCTGTGTGATCTCTTGCATATCCTCAAAGTTAAAGAATGCGTTGAAACAGGATTTATCTACAAGAATAAAAATGCCCATGAGTCACAGTCTCTCTATTTCTCCCCAGTTTTCCCACTACTAAGTCAATGCCATATCACGGTCTTCTTTTACTTCATTTCAACCACCATTCCACTAAAGTGAGGTGTCTTGATTCAAGCTGCCCTAAAGGCTGAGTATGAGACATCTCATATTGAGATATAATTTGCTGATGTTTCTTGGTTTCCAGGTGTTACACAAAAATAATCTTACATCTGTAATTGCTGTAATTTCTCATGCACATCATTCCCCTGTCTAACAAATAGTCTGGCTAAACTGAATGTCTTGAGCTGCTTACATTTACCATGTAGGAATTCTGTCCTGGCACAATTGCTAGGGTGCAGGAAGGGTGTTGCTTCAATTTCTCTTAGAAATTGGTTAAATCACTTCTCATCTAAGTCACCTACAAAAGCTCTAGTATTGAACTGTAGTCTCAAATGCAGGCCATCTCTGATATCCAGACCGTGTAAAAAAAAAAACACATGGATACAGCCTCCATGTGCTTATGGCTAGAGCCAGAATCTTATACTGCCATCTAGAAGAGTACACTTAAAGTCATTGATGACAGGCTGTAGCAAGAATACTTTTATACTAATTCACTGAAAAGCTTATAACAAAGTTCAAAATCTGGATTTTCTAACCTGGATAATGAAAAAGCCAAAGTACAGACTTGAAAAAAACTGATTTCAATTCTACTTTCTTAATCAGTTCATCACATAATCTTCAATCCTTAGCAGATAAGACACAAAGGCAAGATATACTTCCAGTATCTCCCAAAAGACATTCCCCTGCACACTTCTCAGAAACTTTAACTCTGCCGTTAACAAATGTAGCAGCGAGGAGAGAAGGTTATGACAGAGTGGGGAAAGCTTCTGCTTTATTAGAATACTGTCATTTGTTGTTGGTTTCTTTTTTATCTTTTGTTTTTATTTTATTTTTTTTTTTTGGTTCATCCTAGTTTGTCCCCGATTTTTTTTTTAATATACAAAGATTAAGTATGATAAAAAAGGAAGGTGTAAATTGAAATACATACGGTTGAGGCCAATGTCATGGTATGTCAGTATAACTGGTCTATTTCCCTTTGGTAAGCCTCTTATAGTGACGTGGACCATACCATGGGTTGTTTCTATGTCATGTTCCTGTAATAAGAAAACATAAGGTCTCAGCAAAGGCAGAATAAATATTCCAGGTTGCCAAAGTTTCACAATACCCACTCCATCACCATTTCCCACTGGCTAGGGTAGGACACAGTAAAAAAATATAAGCCTACCAGAGAGATACTGTATTATATATAATATTCCTACTTTCTAATTCTTCCAGATAGATTAATACATAGGGAAAAACCATACCTTGTCATCCCCAAAGCTCATGTAAGAGCCCAGGAGGTCAGGGATCTGGTGAAAATAGATTTGCAACTGGCTAAGGAAGGGAGATCAGTAAGTTGGGTTAAGGAGTCAGTTAAGACTTGAGGGAAGAAAAGTTAAGCAGAAGTTGCTGGGTAAAAAGTCTTCAGAGCCTATAAACACATGTTCAGCTACCGATAATTTCAGTAGGCACCTATGAGTGTCTCTGCCTAGGATCTCTCTTCTTTCCAGATAGCCAGCAGTAGCTCTTGGCCACCATGATTGTAGACTATAACTTATAGCCACAGCTTATTGGAGTCGGGTAGGTATCTTGCTCATCCCTCGCTAGCAATCTGTAATTGGTACTAAGAGATTTCATCCTAAACTTGGTTCTTCTCTTGAAAACAGAAGCATGGAGCTTTTAGTAGACATTTCCACTACTCTAATTCCTGGTTCTAGTTGTGTGTGTTCTTAAGTTCTGAGACATCTATGGTTTACCTGAGGTGTAAGCTATATTGGGTGGTTTGTTCCCTACACCCCAAAGGATACTAACCAAGGCAATGAATAAAGTTTAGATATAGTCAAAGTAAAGCTCAGGAACCGAATAAGCAGAAACAGGATACAATCAGAGCTGCTGGGAGTGGCTGTAGCATTAAGAGTAGTGGAGTAGAAAAGAAAGGGACTGTAGAAAAGGTAGCTGAGATTTATCCTAGTCCTTTTCAACTTTTATATTTCTCAAAATTAAAAAACTACCACACCTAGCCTAGGGAATTTCTGCTGATGGAGTCTGTACCAATCTCCTAAAGTCTTACATTAGATAAGACAAGATCAACTCTCTGTAGATAATAAACCCAACAAAGTCAAAGGGCTTCTAATTTAATTTCCTACCTAATAATGAACCCTATCAGAGTTTTAGTTTCTTTCCTGATGTGGGACCCAGAAGACAATCTTAGGCTAATTGGACATTAGCATATCTCAAATTACAGGCCCCAGGCAGGAGCAGATAGATATTGCTATCAAATCAAACAATGTGTGACTCAGTATTTCTGTTATCATGTATTACTACTACCTCCCATTCAAGCTTATTCAAAGGCTTAAAAAGGAAAGAAATGAAGATTAGAATGAAACACTGTGAAGTAGCTATGGAATACAGTATAAGGTTTGGATAGGAGGAATACCCTATTACTATATGAATGTTTCTTTTTCTTTTTTTTTTGAGACAGAGTCTCGCTTTGTTGCTCAGGCTAGAGTGAGTGCTGTGGCGTCAACCTAGCTCACAGCAATCTCAAACTCTTGGGCTCAAGCAATCCTTCTGCCTCAGCCTCCTGAGTAGCTGGGACTACAGGCATGTGCCACCAGGCTAATTTTTTCTATATACATTAGTTGGTCAATTAATTTCTTTCTATTTATAGTAGAGACAGGATCTCGCTCTTACTCAGGCTGGTTTCGAACTCCTGACCTCGAGCAATCCACCTGCCTCGGCCTCCCAAAGTGCTGGGATTACAGGCCTGAGCCACCAAACCTGGCCTGAATGTTTCTCTTATAGTAATGTTAGACTTATTTATTGAGAGACCCACCCCCAGTTTCATTTGTTAAACATTTATTTCCTGAACACCTATTACATGCCAGATCATTCAGTTTTATTCCCTGGACTGAGCTCTAGGGACAAAACAGTAAACCAGAGAGGTGTGACCACAGCCTTAACACAGAGTATATTCTACATAGGGAGGCAGACAATAAACACGTTAAAAAGCCAACTGAAAATAATGGCTTGTGAGCTGGGCACAGTGTCTCACGCCTGTAATCCCAGCACTCTGGGAGGCCAAGGCGGGTAGATATACTCAAGGTCAGGAGTTCGAGACCAGCCTGAGCAAGAGCGAGACCCCGTCTCTACTATAAATAGAAAGAAATTAATTGGCCAACTAAACATATATAGAAAAAAATTAGCCGGGCATGGTGGCACATGCCTGTAGTCCCAGCTACTTGGGAGCTGAGGCAGAAGGATTGCTTGAGTCCAGGAGTTTGAGGTTGCTGTGAGTTAGGCTGATGCCACAGCACTCTAGCCAGGGCAACAAAGTAAGACTCTGTCTCAAAAAATAAAAAAATACAATGGCTTGTGATAAGTGCTATGAAAGAAATAAATAGGGTGCTATGATAGCAAATTAAGAAGAAATACACGAACTTCACTACACAGCCAAGAAAGTACAAATTAAATTCAATGAGATACTATTTCATACACATCAGAATGGCAAATATTTAAAGGCAAATAATACCAAGTGTTGGCCAGGATATAGAAACATAACAAGTCACTTATATTTCTGGTAGGCATTTAAACTAGAACAACTACCTGGAGAAAAATTTGGGATTTTGTGATAAAGTTAAGAAGTGGCTATCCTACAGCAATTTTACTTTCAGGTATAGTCTAAAGAAATTCTCAAACATAGTCACACACACACAAAAGACATGCATAAAGACAAATAATTGTTGTGGGAGTTAGGGGTACCAATCCCCTTCCACAGTTGAAAATCTTGACTTTAATTCCCCAAAACTTAACTAATAGCCTACTGTTCACCAGAAGCCTTACTGATAACAAACAGCTGATTGACACATATTTTATATATGTATTATATACTATAGTCTTACAATAAAGTAACCTTAAGGAAATGTTATTAAGAAATCACAAGGAAGAGAAAATATATTTACTACTTATTTAGTGGAAGTAGGTCTTTATCTGCATTATCTTCACATTGAGTAGGCTGAAGAGGAGGGCCTGGTCTTCCTGTCTCAGGGCTAGCAGAGGCAGAGGAGGTGGAAAAGAAGACAGGACAGGCAGGCATATTTGGTGTAACTTCATGGAAATACATCATAACTTTTGTCATTTTTACTTTATTTTTCTAAAAATGTTTCTACAGGTATTTAATATCAACCCATCTTCCACCCAACTGCTTTAATTTCCATGCCCATATCACAGAAGAGTCCATGTCGTAAAAGTCACAAGCAGTCTTGAATAATCAGAACCAGATTATCTAATGTCAGTTTGTTTTCCCGCACCGCTGCTTCCCTGTCTTCTTCCTCATCATCTGGCACTGGAGTGGAAGTACTCATCTCCACCAAGTCATCTTCTATTACTTTCTCTGGTGTGGTGTATATTTAGCTCTTGAATTACTCCCAGATCCATATCTTAAAACCCTTTGTACACAACCCCCACCCCACCTGTTTTGCCATATGAACAATTTCTTCCAAAAGCCTTGATCGGCTCTGTCATAAATCTAGTGAAGTCACACAAAACATCTGGATACAGTTTTCTCCAGCAGGAATTTATTGTTTCAGGCTTGATGACTTTGACAGCTTTTTGTGTAACAATGATGGCACCTTAGCGATGTAATCCTTCCAGACTTTCATGATGTTCTACGGGGTTCTCTTCCACAGCGTTGGCAATTATTTCCATAGAGTATCTGATGTGATGAAACTTAAAGGTCCATATGACCCCCCAGATCTAGAGGGTGAACTATATCTAGAGGTTGAACATTGTGTCTGGGGACAAGCAGACCACTTTGATGCCTTCAGTGTTGAACTCATGGGGTCCTGGGTGGCCAGAACCAATACTGAAAGATCTTTAAAGGCAGTCCCTTTCTGGCAAGGTACATCCTGACTCCAGGGACAAAGCATCAATGGAACCAATCCAGAAAAAGGATTCTCATTGGTTTTTGTTGTTGTTGTTGTTTTGAGACAGAGTTTCGCTTTCTTGCCTAGGCTAGAGTGAGTGCCATGGCGTCAGCCTAGCTCACAGCAACCTCAAACTCCTGGGCTCAAGCGATCCTCCGGAGAGAGATTCCTGAGCTCAAAAGATCCGCCCATCTCGCCCTCCCAGAGTGCTAGGATTACAGGCATGAGCCACTGTGCCTGGCCCCAGCAAAGAACTTATATGCAGAATATTTTTTTTAAGGCAAGAATATGTAGGGCAAAAGACATTAACAGGCATTCCACAAGAGGATAGTCAAGAAGAGGTGTTTGGATATCATTGCCCCTTAAGGGAAATGCAAATTAAAACAACCAGTATTATTTACCTATAGTATAGCTTAACATTTTAAAAAATGGTATAATTAAAATCACTTTAATAACTTAAGCTATTTTGTTTGAATGGGTACCATAGTAAACAACAAACTGAGGCCGGCGCTGTGGGCTCACACCCTGTAATCCTAGCTCTTGAGGCCGAGGCGGCGGAATTGCTCAAGGTCAGGAGTTCAAAACAGCCTGAGCGAGCCCCGTCTCTACTATAAATAGAAAGAAATTAATGGCCAACTGATATATATATAAAAAATTACGGCATGGTGGCGCATGAAAACTTGTAGTCACCAGCTACTCGGGAGGCTGAGCAGTATGGATCACTCGAGCCCAGGAGTTTGAGTTGCTGTGCAGCTATGGCTGACGCCATCGGCACTCACTCTAGGCCTGGGCAAGAAAGCGAGACTCTGTGCTCAAAAAAAAAAAAAAAACAACTGAGATTACTACCAAAAACGCTCATCTTTCATAAAAATTAAAAGGAACTGATAATAGCAAATGTTGGATAAGGACTGTGAAACCAACTAGAACTTTCATGCATGTGCTTGTGTAACTATACAAACGAAATTAAACCCTTACAGGTTACCCCAGGCTGCTGTATGGACCCCTCATGGCCAAAGGAAGATTCCTAAAACTAAATTGCCACCCCATAAGGAGGAGGTCAGTCAATGCCTCATCATGTCTACTCCCTTCTGAGGACATCCTTTTGTAAACCCATTAACAGGCCTAAGGCA